CTTCTGAAATGTCGCCAAGTGTCCAGAGCTCCAGGCCCCCAGCCACAAAAGTACGAGATCCCAAGTACTACTAACCCCACCTCCAGTCCCAAAGCCCTCAGGGCCTCCGGGCGCCTGGCCCTTCAGGCCTGGCTGAAGTTCTGCACTGGGATTCGAGAGGCCCTTCAGGGATCTTCAGGGTGCCGTATAGCCCCTTTCCGAGTCAGGCGAGCCGCCCGCGGAACGATTCCGAGACACCAGGGAGCTTCAGAAAGATGTGCTCCAGTTTGTTGACTTCTTGAGCAGGGAAAGCTTGAGGTAATCGAAGCATCGGACGGGGGCGTAGCGCAACCCTACATAAAGCCCGGGCCGGAAGCTCGGGCTGCCGTGCGTAAAAAATCATCATCACCGCAATTGTCATCAGTGTGTTTTATACTAAGTAACAGCTGGCACTGCAGCAGCAGTCATGTAGCAGAGCAGTCGTGCAAGCTGCATGCGGAGCTGTGAGTAAACAGGCGCCGCTGAAGCGTCAACGAACAGGGCCATCCGTCATTCTGCTCGATGTGGAGGGAACCACTACGCCGATTTCCTTCGTGAAGGACAGCATCAGAGGGCCCCTGGTTGGAAACCCGACTTGGGTATTGCTACGAACGATCGTGACTATGGTTAGTATAACCATTAGTTCATGAAGACGATTGTGGGTCTTCCGCGTCGGAGTGCTGGATAGACCCATGGCAAGCAGGCGGTGATATTTAGCGAGTTTGTATTGGGTCACTGCTTTGCGATAATGAACTAGATCAATCTGCAGTGGCAGCTGGAAGGCACTGTGTGCTGCCCTGCATCGCTTTCTCCTGCATGTCGTCGAAGCTTTGCTGAGTCTGGAGAGTGTGGTTTGCGCCCCTGAACCTCCCAACCCTTGCAGGATAAGCTATTCCCGTTCGCCGCTACCTCGGTGGAGGGTTGGGCGCCCGCTGCCGGACCAGACCTCTCTGAGGCGGGATCGAGCAAACTGGGCTTTGTGCGTGAGAGGGGGGGGGTAGAGTTTAGAGTCTGGAGATGTCTAGAGTTTAGGCTCCAGGGATCATCTTCAGAGACATGGCAGTGGCCTGCGACGAGCTCCACGTGTGGCAAAAAGACCTTCGAATCCAAGACTGACCTAAAAGATCCAGAAGCAAAGAGAGCTGCAGTTCCCATTCCCTGTTCTGAGTAGGACGCATTGGAAGGGCAGCTCCTATTTGCAGACCGAGTCGATATCCCACTTCACATCCCCAATGGTTTCAGAACTACAAGCAACTTGTGAAACATGGCCCCAGAGGTGGTGGCGCAGTTCGAGGCACAGTGCAAGGAGGCACCCATCGCAGCCGTGAGGGTGCGAAGCGTTTCTTTTACAACGTTGTCGGGCAGAGCTATTCTTGTGGACAAGTTTAGGGGGTATATATCCTCATAGAAAGGCATGACAGAAGTACCTTTTGTGAACTCGCGGTCCCAAAGCCATGGACCGTAGACCCCGAGTGCAGCCGTCTCTTCAGGATGGTGTGCCCTTTGACACGCTGGCGCCCATTAAGGAGGTCCGACGGCTGACGAAGGAGCCCTAATACAGGGGCCTTGGTAGTTAGTATGGACCGGGTGGGGTTCCTCAAAGAGTTCCGTTCAAAGGGGTTCATAAGTTTAAGGCTTACTGTAAGGGTTTAGCTTAGCCCTCCGGATTCGATTCTGATGCGCTAGTGCCCTGGGACTGCCTCTGTGACCCTCTCAAGCCCAGCTTTAGATCGCAAGGCTCATGAAGTCAGGAAGCGTCGTTGAGCTTTCTTGCCCAGAGGAGTGGATCGCAAAGGATCGCAAGGTGCCTGCCTTGAAGGAGCCGATTCCATGGCAGCATGCTCTTCAACTGCTACGTCGAACTGCTAGGAAATTTTGAGGATGTGGGTTGCAGTACGACCGCTTTTGTGCTGGTTGGGGTTGCAATTGCATGATGTGCCAATATAGGTTTCTTGTGATCCGGAAACTCGCTGCATGTCTGAGTGTACAGGTACAGCATAATGCCAGCTGGCAAGCTACACCGAAACCTGGGATTTCACCCGTCTCACGGGTCTTGTGTCTCCCTTTGTCTCTGTCGCTTGCGCTCGCCCAAATGCTGGAACTGCACGCCCCGTGAGGACCTGCAAGGCCGCCTTTGGCGATCGGGCTACGAGCGGGGAGCGCTGCAGGGCGAGATGTTTGAGGCCAGGCAGCTTCTCCAGAGCTCGCATAGGGAGCGCCTGGTAAACTTCCATAGACCTCCGGACCTGAGTCCCTGAAAAAATGCCGGGAGGACACGCCCAAAGCAATGGCTGCCTGGGTGGCGGCTGGGCAGCGCGTGGCGATCTTCTCTTCGGGCAGCCGAGAGGCTGAAACAAGGGCCAAGCCCTGACGATCACTGCATGGCTGATCGAGAGAAACTTCGCGTCTGCCAGATTCCGCCTTTCAGGCGCAGAGACTGATCTTTCAGTACTCGGACAAAGGGGATCTCACTCCCCACATCGCGGCCTACTTTGATCCGAAAGCCGCGCAGGCCCGCTGCCGAGACTTCAGGGTTTCGGCCATTTATTTCAACGGCCAGTTTTCACAGGCTAAGTGGCATCCCTTTGCCCTTTGATCTTGATGGAGACTGCAGTTTCGACCTGGGGCATCTGGATAAGAATCGTGCATCGTCAATAGGATCCCCTGCTGCCTTGCTTGTCTCTAACCAAGAGCAGAAGACGTCTCTGTGCAGGCTTCGAAACAGGAGGCCAAGGCCTACACGGAAATTGCCCTGTCGCTGGGCATCGAGTGCAGCCAAGGCTCCACTGATCTTTCCATGCTCGCCTTTCTAGAGCAAACAACACCTGGAGTCTGAGAACCTGAAGGTACCTGATTTGCTGTGAATCCTTGTAGCAAACAGACTCAGACTGCCGAAGCAGCACCACCACCACAGGTCGAAGACCCTTCAGAAGCTGCGTGGTCGACCACGGGTTCAGTGTTTGTGGAAGCATATTTGTTAAACCACTGCAGATACACAGCCTCTGCCAAACACGGAGGTGAAGCGCTCTACGTCCGCAAACCTAAGTGTTTGAAGCCTGCTGACATGCCAAACCCTTGTCACATTCGCAGGCTAAAACCCAAAGCACCCTCCGAGACAGGCCTGTTTTGCACAGACGTCCTCGGCGAGGCAAAAGCCGCCCGGGAGGTGCACTGCAGCACATTTGGGGAAGTTTTTAGTTGGAGCGTCCCCAGGACATGCACCTCGAGCGGTGGTCTTAAGGAGCAAGAATTAGGAGCCCGAAAAGGTGTTCGGAATCGCGAACCCTCAAGTTGTTTTACGGGCGAAAAAATCCGACAACCGTATCGTACTGCAACAATCTCTTGGAAGTCAAGACATTGGTCAGAATCACTTTCATGCAGGGTTTGGGGTTTAAGCCGGTCTAAGCTTCATGATTCCGGACCCATTTTTGTCCGGTGTGCAGGAGATGTGACAGTTGGGAAGACTTCTCGCCCGCAGCAGCACTCAATCCAGATCCGGAAAGCAGCCCCTAAGCCCAAACTTCATCTCTTCGAACCTTATGACTGCTATACACACCCATCCCTTGATTTGAGTCCTGCAAACATATGTATACATGCATGGACCTAGATGTGAAAACAGAGGTTGAATGGCAAGAGCTCACTGAAGCAAGCAAGGCGGGAAACAACGAAAGAGCTGGAAGCATGCTTGTCTGCATCTGTTTATGCATTCACTTTCATTTTTTACCTATATCCGACGTTTCACCAAGTTCCACCTGTATGCATACATAGGAGACACTAGAATAGCATCGGCAACTCTAAAACACTAGACCCCCAACCCTGAATGCCCTCTGACCCGGCCACATTTCGAGATGAGTCCTGGAAGACCCCAAACCCTCAAGCCTAAAACCCCAAAGCCTCAACCCTAAACCCTCAACCGGCCGAAACCCGGTAGAGGCCGGCTGGCAGACGGTGCTCCTGATCCGGCCTGGCAACGCCCCGCTCCCGACTGGACACGGCTTCCGGGAAGCAAGGCCCCGGTGTTTGAGGGTTTGGGGTTGCGAGGGTCTAGGGTTGAGGGGTTTAGGGCTTTAGGGTCAGTGTCCCAAATCTTTGGGTTTGTGTGTTTGTTCAGCTTCACTTCTTGCTACTTCTGTTACTATCGCACTTTCGGGCATGCCCATGATGGTGGCGGTGGCGGTCGTGTGAATTAGCGCCAGGAGGCAGAAGATTGATGCACCGATGCCACAATCGCTTGCTAAGTCACGTGCCGCACTTGCGACGCAGATGTGGTCGGAAGTGTTTTGAGTGACAGAGTTGCGGGGTAGTGCCGGATCTAGCACCCTGCAAGTCCTGCAGAGAGCCCGAAAAGCCACGTCGTTGTTCGCCAGGAGTCTGCTCGACGTGTGTTGAGAGACGCCTGGAGCTGCTGTAGTGATGAAGGGCATTTGAGGTATGTACCTAAAATGTGCAAGCAGCACGAGATGAGGCTTCTGGAAACCTCAAATGCTTGTAGCTTAGGATTCCAGTCATTCACTGACGGAGAGACTTCGTTGGATATGTTTTAATATTTAGAGGGCGTGAATCGAAGAGCGAGCAAGTTCAATCAGCCTCGTGGAACGACCGCCTGCGGCGTGCTGATTTTCACAAATGATGGAGAAGCCAGGTTAAGATTTGGTCAGTCGCGGTTCGATGTCGTGCACGGGTCAGAGCATTTGTTCAGAGGGCTTCTGAGCGAAGCCTTTACTTTTGCGCAACAGGCAGAGAGTTTGGATGAATTTGGTTTTCCGTAGGTGCGGAAGGCTCCCACATAGTCCTCGTTTCAGGGCATTGTTCTACAGCAGACATGCCTGGTGCGTTCTCTTCCGCCAGCTCCCGTATAGTTTTGAAGGAGGGCAGACGATGGGTTCCCGTGATGTCAGGTTTAGGCATTATGTTTTTTTGCCGAAGCATCTGTTCGCAGCTGTGGGAGGAGGGCAGTCTTGCTGACGGTTCATGCTTGGCAGGTCTTTCCGCCCACGCAGGTGGCGAGCACTGCGCGGCACTTAACTGTGGTTGAAGGCTCCGGGAGTGTGCAGATGCTACTTTCACGCGTTGAACGGACATCTCCACATCTCGTTTTAAACTGTAGCAAAGCATGTCATTCCACGTACACAAAACATGTCCGCGTGCATACACACATGCGTACATGCATGCATACGTACATACATATCTATACCTACATACCTACATTACCTACCCGCCCACGTACATGCATGCATACTTGCATCTGGATTGACTCGGTGGCTTTCGAAGTGCTGTCGCAGAAGCGTTTGAGGCCCAAGAGTTGCCGATCACTGCCGCCTTGGAACTTCAGGACCCCTGCACTTCGGTTTGGGATAAACAAAGGATCCCGATGGCATTGAAGCAGTAGCTGTCAGTAGCCAGTAGCTACATCCTAGTGGCTGGAGGGTGAAGTGCAGTTGTCAACGGAACAGAGGTGGTGGACAAGTAGGAGGAGGGAGAGGAGCAGGAAAGAGATGATCGGAAGTAGTTCTCGCTGTAGTGGTCCTTCTTGGCATCTCAACTCTCAGGCAGTTTTATTGTGGCTATGTCTGGTTCTGGGTGGCGATAAATAAATGATTCGTTTTTTGCCCATGTCGTAGTTCATGTTTGTCAGGACCTGATGCTGGCACCGGGAGACACGCTCATGGTGACTCGGACTGAACTACCATCATACCTTAAACCTAAACATATCAAAGCTTTGGGATGTAAGCCTGAAGAAGGCCGGAAGCATTCCGGCCCAACCATGCGAACCAACCCTTCCGCGGGAGCCTCCCTTCTTCCGAGCGTGGCAGCTGCAACCGGATTCGACAAGGCCGTGTGGTTTGTGTGCTGCATGGTGTTACGACCACAACTACAGTACTCTCGCTTCTGTTGGGGCACAACCCGCACCATCGACGGTAATTAGATAGTACCAGTTACCACCACGACGATGGCGACGACGATGACGCCTTCTCACTGCTACCGCGGCTAATTACAAAACTTACCATGCCCCAAGCCGCCAGCGAACTCAGGTAACTGCACCGGTAAGCTTTGACTTTGCCGTACCGGTGCCCGCCAGGGCCTCAAAGGACAGGGCCGAGTCGAAAGAACGCGAGGGCTGAAAGGTTTTAGAGTTCAAGGCTTCAAGACAACGCTTGCTTTGTTTAGTTTTTGCAATCCACCAGATCAATCCAGAGAGCCTCCTTCCCTTCGCTCGTGAAGCCTGCAAGCCGGTACCCTATACACGAGCACGATCCGTGGTTGTTCTACCCGTGGTGCTGCCGGGCTTCGAAACATGCAATCCCAATGGCTCCATTGCAGGCTTTCGTTCGAGCACTGCATAGCTTGCTGTGCTGTTAGTTTGGTACATTGATGTGTAGGCACAGGCCGCGAGACACAAACCTGAAAGTTCGCCCCAAAACACCCAAAACTTCAGTATGGATCTGATCTGGACCCCGACCTCTGGACCACTTTAGGTCAAGCCGAAGCACACCGAGACTGCAACGTGTGTAAGTATGTGTGTATGTATGTATGTATGTATGTATGTATGTGTAGATGTGTATACATAGTCCCCGTTCTGTATACATATACACAGCAGCGCGAACTCCTATAGCCAGCCAGCACGTCGTGTACATATGTACCCGGCCACCCCTAAACCCTAAGCCTTAAGCCTCGGCTCTGAAGCCCCGATACAAACGTATATACATGTATAAACATGTAGAAACTTATACACATGTGCTCATATAAATAAGTACATATAGACATATATTTCATTTACATATGCATATGTATATGTATATGCGTATGTGTATGTATACATATATACATATACCCTTATTGTAAGGATGCCTCCTTGGAAGCGGATCTTCGGAATTGCCGGGACTTCCGGGATCTCTCCTTGGACTTGCAGGCCGGGAATTTGTTGGTGTCCCTGCAGGGGTTTAGGCTTAGAGGTTTAGGGTTATGAGGGTTCAGGGCTTGCATAGAGTATTGGGGTTTGGGGGTGTAGGGTTTATAGTTTCGGGTTTGGGGTTTAGAGTTCAGGGTTTTGGGTTTTTTCGGGGTTCAGGGCTGAACTGATGATCGGTCGTGGAGTTTGGTTCTAAAGCGTAGTGATGTCCTAGGCATTCTCAGCCCTTGAAACGGAAGCTGTGAGCTAACGGAGGTCCTGCAGCTGGCCTCCTTACCGCGTCCTCGCTGTGCAGGCATTGTGTCTGAAACGGGTTTAGGGTTCAGGACCCTAAACCCTAAAGTCATTCCGAGTTCAGGGCAAACCTTCGACATTGAGTCTGGACGGATTGGTGCACCGAGAAGAAAGGCCATTGTTACGCGATATACATCCACGCATCCTTGTTCAGAGGCCTAAGTCCCCCCATCCACTTCTGGTGGCGGTGGTCTGCTATGATATGTTATGATGTGCCATGCCACATTTTTGGTAACTCTCAATTCAGGCTGCTATCCGACATGACATGAGTTGTCCTGGTGTCACAGTATGCGTCCTGACTCGGGATTCATCTTCATTTTGCTTTGCGTCGTACATCTGTATCCCGGTTTGAATCGCACTAGCAAGGTACACCAGCCAGATGTTCATACTAGCCTGTTGTCGCATCGTGTTGTTTTGCCAGACTTCGGTTCCGGGGGCTCAAGTGCCTCACAGGGTTCAGGCTTCGGGATGGGTGGCCGGCGGTGTGGTGTATGTGTCTTATCAGTTCCAATAGGTCTGAGCCATGTCTCTTGCATATCCAGCCGCTCTTGTGCAAAGGCTGAACGAAACTCCCATCTAATGCTCTTGTGTGCTTGGGCCCGGTGCGGATCTTCACAGCACTTCTTCCGCGGTCCCCGCACGCAAGAGCGCTGGATCTGGAGCGGAAGGCCTTGCACAAGAGCGCCTTGCAGCCACTGCGGGCTTTTCCGCAGTGGCTCCAAACCGCTCTTGTGCAAGCGCTTCTGCCTCCGCTTAGACATTCGCAGGATGTGCGCCCAAGAGCTCACCGTGAGGGTGCAGAGCTCGTGGCTCTGCGGCAGTAGCCTGGCGCCCTGGTGTTGGTGAGAGTGCGCCCCCCCGAGTCGCGATGCTGGTGGGACCCGGAGACACCGTTGACAGCGTTCAGGTGCCGGGAAGACCAAACAGCACATCCAAAGCCCAAGAGCTAACCGTGCAAGTGCACGAAATTGATCATGGTTGCGCATGTTTTTGTGGTCTCATCCGGGTTCCGTTGGAATGATTTTGAGCATCATCGGGCCCCTGTGCAAGTTCACTGGGTTAAATAGTGGGCAGGAGAGCAAGGTGAAACAGCAGCAAGTCAACAGCTGAGTTTGAAAATTAAATGAGACCGCGTGACTCAACGACTGACTTACCAGCCGCCACGGCTTGCATTGCAGCGCCCCTCTGCAACATCATCAGGCTCTGCGGCCAATATGTGGCCATGATTGGAAGAATTTGATCATGTTGCGGCGGAGCCCTCCTTTGCCAGGAAGCCATCGCGGAAGCGGTGCAATCTCACGATCTGGGTCATCATTGATCAGAAGCACCTCGTTCAGGATCATGATCAATCCCAAATTGAGGTGCGTCTCATTTCATCTGTGCGGACGAGCTCCAAGATTCAAAGACCTGCTGTTTCAAGTCACAGAGCAGTGGTCCACACGGCAGAATGGCTGAGATAGTTGGGAAGACATGTTTGGATGCACGCTAGAGCTTCAGCTCTTCGAGGTCAAAACCGTCACGACTACGACCCGGTAAGGCCTTTTTTAGGAGATGACGGGGACGTAAGCGGAAGGAGTGCCTGACGAATCGGGCAACCTAGTATTCAAGCACATTTTACTTGAGCAAAGCATGGACAAGCGTGATGAAGGCAAAATGTTTTGCTGTGTTTGGAGAAAACGCACCACTGGTGTCATCCACGCGCAAGACATAAGCGGACATGTTTGCCGCGAGCCATTTTGCAAGAAAACATCTTCCAATACCAATCTTCAACCGAAAAGTATCAGGCTTAGTGCATCGTGAAAGCTTCCCAGCTCCAACTTAAAGTCGAGTTTGAACAGACTGACACCCGTTTGGGCCTCAAGCATGCTACTCGTTTGCCGAGATGGCAAAGACATCAACTCGTGCGCGGGGAGTGCCAAAACCATGCCACGGTTCATGAAATGCGAAAACAGTATAGGCGCCGCTGCACACGGCAAGTCTTTTCCTAGCCCAGGTTCGATGGGACTAGAGATATTCCCATTTGGGGAGCGGACAGCCGAATCCGAAACTCTGCCTAGGTAAACGTTAAGTCCTGAAGCATCGAAGCTTGTCACTGATCAGTTGTTCTGGCTGGATGCCGAAGCCCGAGATTGCAGGGTGGATCTCTGATGATGGGCGTAGTGGATGGAACCGCAGTGGTCCTCATGGTGCGAAATAGTTTGCATGTCACGGCAGGCAACATGATCCAGTTCACCTTCCTTTCGCGCGTTTCCCAGCAGTACAGCGACTAACGGCGTTTGATGGCACTTGCTGTGCTTGTTCTGCTCACGTTTCGAGTAATTATCTTGTCATGGATTGCTTGCCAGGCTTGCCATCAGCATATCTCGACAAACCACGTGACTTTGCATATTAGCAGTCGGCTTGAAGCTGCAGCGGAATTTCCTGAGAGCAGACGTAGACGTTGTCAGATGGCTATTCAGGCCATTACCCCTGCCCAACTCCCAACATATCCTATAGAAGCGCTGCAGAGCCACGCCCAAAGCGAAACACACACCAGCTTCCCAAGACCCGAGATTCTCCTGATGCTCGAATCTTCGGCCCTGACCCTCAAGCCAAAACTCCAAATCCCAAAAGCCCAGGCCCTTCGTCGCTGGCAGCTTCCGATTCCGTGCCATTTCTGCCTGGCCGACTCAGACGGCTCTCGCAGGCGAGAGAAGAGGGCTGCCCTGTTGAAGGGCTTTGCTGTAAAAGGATGATCGAATGACAGTTACTGTAGGGTTTGCGGCATGCTTGCAGCTGTCTGCACTTTATCATGGTTCCGCTTAAGGGGGTTAAACGAGTTAAATTTGGCTTAGTGACTTTAGCGGGAAAGGGTTTGTCTGTGATGGTGGGGAATAGCTTGAGTTATGTCACTCAAGCCTTTCGTGATTTAGGTTCGTAAGGTTTTCAGAGCATCGTTCACCTCCGGGTCACATCGGCAGTACGCCGAGCACAAATGTGGCAAACCACCCACGGTCCACTGCCCTGCAGGCCAAGACGCTTTCGTGGCATCGCTGCACACCACGGACATTCGCATGGGGCAGAGTGAGGGAGGTGTGCACTTGTTGTAGTGGGCAAGTGTGCGTTTCTCGCGGTTCTCGAGTCTACGGTTTTCTCAGCACCGCCCTGGATCACCCTCGGCCATTTGCCCTCTCCAGTCTCTCGAAGCGCACCTACCCACGCCAGCACAAGCTCGGAGGACCTGCTGACCGGCCAAGCGCGCACAGTCTCAGGCAGGGCATCCGATGGTGTTCGCGGACACGCAAAGATACGATGGTAGGCCGTGGCTTCCCCCAGATGAAAAGCATGAACCGCCTGTGGGGCCCAAGAGGTCACGACTCAGCAGCTACAAACTCAACAAGCCTACCTTGCTCCTCCGTGGTTCGATCAAACTAGCCGTATACTGTATGAAGTGAATGGTCAAATATGTCGTTTCTCCTACCGCAGGACGAGCGCCACTGCAGACGGCAGTCGCCCCCAGGCATCGTGTCCGACAGCAAGTCAGCAGTAGTGTAGTAGTCGTCGTCGTAGTAGCACTTGCAGTAGCAGTGGCAGTAGTATAGGAGTAGGTGCTAGTGTAGCAATAGCAGCAGCAGTAGCAGCCGCTACTAGTCGTGCGAGTACAAGCAGAAGGAGCAGGATATGGGTAGCAGAGGCAGCAGCAGAAGCAGTAGCAGCAATAATAATAGCAGTCGTTCTAGCTCGCCGCCAGCAGGATGCAGAGTGGAAGCAGCAGCACGCAACATTTTCTGTGATCAACAACGCCCGCAGAACATCAAAAGCAGACCTTGGTCTGGTCCTTGCTCCGTTGCTCTGGCGACAGTCTTGAGCTGTCTCGCGGAATCTTTCGGTTGTCCAGCATAGGCGGGCCTCTCAGATCAATTCCGGTAAAACAATCGCACCGGATCCCCGACGAAGTCTTCGAAATATCGGGGAAGAATCTCATGTCAGTTCGGAGTTGAGCGTTCCGTCATTTGGGACTGTGCAGAGCCAGCCTACCGGCCCGATCATGCAAATCAAGGGGCGATGACAGAGCCGTGCGTCATGTCGGTAGGCTCATCGTGACATGCCTACCAAGTTGCGCCTGCTACTACAGTACGACAGAAGGCGTCTACCCTTTTGCCATCATTGCATTCAGTGCAGCATTACGTTCAGCAGCAGTATAAGGAATGATATTCACAAGAAAGATCGCGGTGCAGCTTAGACTTGCAAGCCGCGCATCGTGCAGGTTTGGGGATTTCTTGTTGCAGCGTACCTCTGGAATTCGAGCTGATGCTGTGTTCGCACCTCAGCACCGGGGAGTCTCGTCACACAGTCCTTAGAGCATCTCGAGACCTGGCAGTTTTGCTTAGACAGGTTGTGAGCCAACTCAGTGTAGAGCTAGAGAACTTCCGCGGAACATTAGCAAGTCCTGCTCGTCTCGTTTTCGGAGCTCATCAGGTTCAGCGTGGGAGACATCCAAATCATCTTCCGGCCACGCCAGAGTGCGCAGGCATGTGTCAGAGGAGTGCTCTTGAGTTGTAGGGTCATCTCATTGGCCCCACGGAAGAGTGCAAGGGAGAGCGATAGAATGGAAGAATCAGACACTGCCGTCTGTCTTTGACCCGACTTAGCGGTGCAGGCTTTGTCTCTGACCTCGCGGCCGTGGCACCCGGTGTTATTGCGTGCATTTGCTGATAGTGTACTCTGCCGGGAGCTGCAGAATCCCCCAGGTTCTGCAAAGGACGTCTGGTGGGCGGGTTGTAGAGCCGCAAGCTTCAATCCAGTCATGCATTCAAACGCCTCGTGTTGCTCCGGTCACAGGATCTTGCGGGATGAAACCGGTAGGTGAAGCTAGCACCCAGATGGGGAAGAGTGTCAGACACAGAGTGACTCGAGGCTGCAAGAGGATCCTGGATTGGGCATTGACCTTTCCAGCGCAGACTTGGAGGTCCAATCGGAAGCAATCCTGAAAGTTAGTTTCCTTTGCGCTCGCCTTTCCTATGTCCGATGAAGCTAGCTAGCCCATGTGTGTGAGCTTCATCTTTGTATCCGAGGTGAGGTGCAGGCTTGTGCTTAGGAAAAGTCGGAGCTCCAAGAGTCCATGTCGCCATGGAGGTGACAGACGGGCCGCAGCTGGTCAAGGAGGCCGGGGTTGGCCCCATCGCTGCACTAACCCTCCTTGTGCCTGTTTGTCGTGCCAGCGTGCTCGTCCTCGACCTAAATGCCTCGAAAATCCTCCGCTTTCTCTTGCCCTGACCCCGAGCTGTGGGGAACTTCAGCCTCTAACCCAACCAAAGCAAGTCCAGATCAAGTCTAGGATTCCAAATACTTGAAGAAGCTCTATGACTCTATGAGATATTGTAAGAGCAATCTGAACACAAGATTATACGTTAAGGCCCCAAGCACGACCAGGTTCTTCTGCTGCGGCCTGCAGCGTCTCGCCTTGCTCTGGCTGCAGACTTCGCCGCAGGGCGGCTCTTCGGGCTCAGGCTCCGGAGAGATGTTGTCAATCATGCGGGGAGCTCTGTGTGATAGTTAGGAACATCATCGGAGGTCGCAGCGCTCCATCTCAAGCTTCAATGTGCCTCCAGATACAGATCGACTGATGACTGACGGCTCTCAACACCCGTGTGGAGAAAACTCGGACCCCCCCGGCAAACAAGCCTGTAGCGGAGTTCAAAGCATCTCCGCCTGTGCAGGCTACGCAACGTCAAGAACCCGGAGGCACGGCGCCCGCGGGCAGTCGCCCACGGCATGACTGCAATATAACCATGATCATGAAGTGGTCGAGTTGGATCTGTATTTGCTGATGATGCTGCCTTGCCTCAAGCGTCAAAACACCAATTTGCCTCGGTGCTTTTGACAGCATTTTCGCGATTGCAGTTGCCTTCCTTTGCACTCTGATCATGGAGGCACGAGACTGCAATCACGACAACTTGGGTCGCTCCAACGGCTTCCCAGAACAGCTGGATACCGGGATTATGAACCCGTATCAAAAGGTCGGTGCAGGAGGGGAAGGCGGCAGCCAGGAGGAGGTGGAAGAAGGGGGTGGTGGTGAAGGCCCGCCAGAGAAGGTGGCAGGAGCTCACGCAGCACTCGGTGGTGGTGGAGTTGGGAGCCGTGCACACCATGGCCCAAGCAAGGCTGGCCACCTTGCGGGAGGGGACAAAGGAGGTCGGCGGTGGGAAGTGGCCTGGAGGCGGATGGTGGATGGGCGGTGGAACATGTCCCTCCCACTCGTGCCAGAGGAAGAGGAGGTGGAGCAGAGCTGGCGTGGGGAGGAATACTGGTGGAGGACGAGAGAAGCAAGACAGGGGATTGAGCATCAAACACGCTATGAGCACTTTCCATGCTTCGCGAGTGCGATTCGTGGGCCACTCGTTGGGAGCACAGCTGGCTGCGCGATGTGCGGCAACTTGGTCTTTCATTGGGCCCTTTTCCCCTTGTTGTCGTCCTATAGGTTCCTTCTAGATTTATCCAACACCAACGGGAAGCATTCAATATTTTTTTAGTAGGCTATTGGGGATCCTAGGCAGCTCCTGAAAAATTGTCTCTGCTGGAGCCGTACTTCAGCAAGCACCCCCACCTGTTCTTGGGGGTGCCACGGGGGTGCCACGGGGAGCTGACGACCGAAGGCGGCATCGGTGATTTTGCCGAACGCCTGACAGTGGAGCTTGTTGAAAGCATGTTTGTTGGGAAGGGTTCCGGAACTGGCGAACGTGCGCTCTGGCCCGGCTGGGGAAGATTTGGAAAGGGCGGCCACGCTAGTCGATTGCAAGCCCGACTGGTGTGAGGGCCTGAAGAAACATGTGCTTGGAGACACGGAACATATTGGGTGCCGACATTTCGCTGCAATGCCTTTGTGTTTGTTAAGTTTCCGGCAGAAGGTCTCCCGAGCTACAGCCCCCGATTCGAAATGCAGAGCCGGGCTCAGCCCTCAGTTCATGCCGCCCTTTGCGTCATGCCTCTGGACATAATGCCGGCCCATCAGTCCTGGAAGCAGACGGGCGGCAGCGACACATTTGACGAACCCGATGATTCTGACAGCTTCATCCTGAATCCGTCGATAAAACAAGGATGAACACTTGGTTTCAAGATTTGCGAACTCTTTGGTTCAACTTCCCGTCAAGCAGGACAAGCCGGAGCACTTATCGATAATTAGACTCGTGACGACTCCTTCAGTATGTTTTTTGGCTGCAGTGGCGATGATGTGCGCCGTCGCCGGCTGCGTGGTGGTTCTTCTGCCGGTCCCGGACAGTAGACAAGACACGTCCTCACGAAAGGGCTACGACAGCAATGATCATGAGATTGGGCGAAGTTCCGAGAACTTGCTGGCGTCATCTGGTGGTTCCTTTGCATCTTCCCATTCAGGTCAGCGGATTGTCATGGCAACACCTGGTATAGTATCACCTGGTTTAACGTCGCCTGGTTTCGCTCAATTAGTGCATGTGTAGGGCAATCGTGTGTCTTGAGCGCCTGAGTTGGAAACTTCCAGGTGGCGCCTGAAGTGCGGGAGCCAGCTTGGAAGTCATAAGAAGAAAAGCAGACATGTACCGTGCACCTTACCGGTTTGATTCCTAGATCTTATGGTCGAATCCTCCACATGGCGCGGGCAGCAAGTATGTCCATCATACACGATTCATTGACACGTAAGTCAAGTTTCGGAGAGCAAGAGTTCGTCTGGATGTGTTCATTGCGGGTTGTTGGTAACATGTCTTGAGCATGAGGAAGTAAGAGCAGACAGGGTTTTGCACAGGTGTTGAATGACATCCTCGACTCTAGACCCCAATCGCCAGCTCTTGAGGCCCAAACTCGTTTAGGAAATCTGTGTCACGTCTTGCTGCCGATGAGCGCGGGGGGCGGGACGGCAACCGTCCTTGTCCCCAATAACAGGAACAGCAATAGCAACAAGGTAACAATGACAGCAAAAGTGAAGACTGACCGAATGATCACAACAATGAGACGAGTATTGCCAACAAAAACAACAACAAGCAATAATTGGGGAGAGTGGTATCTTGAATAACAGCATACACATATTCTGTAGCACTGGAATAGATAGCATGAGCTACACATGCAACATGCAATCATGCTAAAGTTATCTAGCAGGCTCATGGCGTGACAGACTGAATAAGGATTGGATCGCATTTGCAGCACCCGACGTCCAAGCACCCTCTAGACATGGCTAGCTCACCCGATCAATCCCCGTTATGACACTGACGATGGAAAGTACAATGACACTGATGGTATCATGATGATGATAAGGTAATCATGGTGATGATGATGGTGATGATAATTATGGTGATGGTCCATGATGGTGCTGGCGATGAACATAACCTTCACAATACAGCCCCCGGATGCAGGACCTTGGTCGAAGCCCAAGAAGCTGTAGCCCTCCGTCTCCAGGTGCCCGGAAGCGTCCTTTGGACGCTCAGGTCCTTCTCACGGCCGAGGTGCGGGGGGTTTTGGTGGCAGCATCACATGTTGCATGTGATGCATGCGCGATGGCAGGAAGACGAAAACACAACAGTGTTTATCAAGTCTTGCAGAACACCCGAATGATTGTAAGTCTGAATGCTAGCCTGTGCTATAGTGTAGAGTTACGAGTGTGAGTGAGAAGGCCCACGCCCAAGGAGACAAAAGGAGACCGCGGGCCTCGCTCGAGTCAAGCCTACGCAGTCCCGCTTGTTTTCGTCATGCTGCTTTGACCTATAAAACTAAGTGAATATTTAGCGATAGCGCTCCCTGTGATATTATGAAGACGCAGCACTGGCGAGGCTAAAGGTTGCAATCTCGTACAGTGCTTATCAAGCCGATCCGCATGTGAAGGCTTCGTGGCTCCTTGGTGACGGCATCCGAGGCGAGGTGGGCTGAAGTCTTTTCTCGGCTTGGAGATTTGTGTGTCAATGAACTTGATGAGCACGAAGCCGAGCGGTACCATGGCTGTGCATAAGGGCTCGTGGCGATGACGGAATACCCCGAAACTAGCCATTTCGAAGAGCATCCTAATTTCGGTGTGACCAACTGTGGTCTTTCCCGAACGTGTTTGCTCAGCCCAACCTTCCCACCCCGCACGCACCCGCTCTGCAAGGGGGATTGTGGATTATGCTGATTAAGCCAGGGCTGTGCGGCCGGGGCAGGCTCATGTAGTGATGCAGGGCAGGGATAGAACCGAATACACTGCAAAGATGCCATAACAACAACAGTGTTGTCCACTGCTGTAGCGCCTGTGCCGTCATTGTCTTACTAAATCATCTACAGTCGTTCAATTTGCAACGGGCGTTGTTCATTGATGATTCAGCATGGAAGCTAGGTCCTGTCAATTGGGTTGCGCAGACAGGGTCTAAGTACATCAAAATCGTATCCTGAAGCTCTTGTCAGGCTGATGCCGGTGCGGCCGTGGCGGCTGCTGCTGCTGGCCAGGCAGTTTTGGTGAAGGAAAGTCCGCCGTATCTGACCCAACCCCTGTTCATCACGATGCAGGCCCTGGCAAGTGCCACCGCCACTGCTGCAGACAGCGTGGGCCTTGGTGCCCACCAAAATCTTTGCGCACAAGTCCGGTCAGACGCATTCAGACGCTACACGCTGTAGCTGTTTGTTCGGGTTATGATATGATGAATCCAGCCAATCCACCTCCGGTGCCAAGTCTGTTATCCGCGAGCGCTAGGTGCACCCCCGCACGAAGCTGCTGCCAGCGAAGTCTTGCAATGGAGGGAGCCTTAGAGATGCATGTTTGGACTGATTTCTTACAGCATATAGGTTCATATAGATACATCGGCATGCGGTATGTATGCAGTATGTTAGACTACAAATATGTAAAGCAAGGACGACACAGACGGACACTTTCATGCTGACGCGCAGCAAGACAGTTTAAGGCAGGCGGACAGAACCGGTTGTAGCGGCATGTCAGGATCATGTCTGTAAGTTTGCACATTCGCGCTTACACACATAAATGTATACCAGGCCAATTCACATACCAACATATACCTGCCTGCTTGCCCTGCCAGCCTCTCTACCTGCTGATGTACCTACCCACCTACCTAGCTACATACTGACGGACGAATCTTCCGACCTAAGACCTGCCGATGCACCGACTTACGGACCTACCTACTTGCCTAAATTCCTAAACATGTTTCATGTTCCAGAAATATGTCTCAGGCGCAGACACTAGTAATCATGATGTTGAGATGTCCGTTCGACAACTTGATGCCGACACGGTACAGGATGAGTGTTGTGGGCGTCCGCCGAGGACCATGATAAGATTCGCTGGAGGCCGATATGTAAGGCACTTTACGTCCGTACTGAGGTAGCGACCATTGTAAAACTTTCGAGGCAGCACCTGACTCACAGTTGAGGTTTAGGGCTCCCTTTCAACCATGAGCCCTATTGAGGTTCAGGGCTTGGGGTACAGTTCCCATTCGTTCGAGGCAGCTTGTTTCGTCCCTCGACACAGCGGCTTTCCATCTTGGCTCTGAGGCTTGACTGGACCACACAAGGCCGCGACGAGATTGCAGAGCCTTCGGCAGCAGAGTTTCGCGTTGGACTCTCCTCGAGCATTGGCAAAGTCTGGAGTCAATCCTTTTGTTCATCATGCGCCCTCAGCCTTGCAGCAATGTTGCACGTGCACGGTTGGCAGTACACATGCGGAGTGCTTTGCTAGCGTGCCTCGCATTGCACGGGGTGATGTGCGATCTGAGGAGCTGGAAGCCACTCCGGTGCGCGGTCGGGTGCCGTGAACGGGGGTAAGCCTAGCCTTTGCAGACATAAGGTAGGTCTTCACGGGAGGGTCTGATATCCTGGCCATCTTCTTGAACTTGTTTGGGAAAGCTGCTGTTCTCAGGACTTGGTCAGATCCTTTCTTAGAGGAGTTCGTAAGGCCATAGACACGGTGACTGTCACCACCCGACCCGGGAAAACTTCAAGTCACTCAGAAGCCTTGGTTCAAAGTCTGTCGAATCCGAAGTCCGAGGTCTGCTGCAGATTCTCCCCAACAGCCCTTTCTTGGAGAGCAGCTTCTTCGACTTTCCAGACACGGAGGTCGCAGCGATTCCTTTTCTTCCTTCCGGCTTTGTGAGTCGCAGTGTTCATTGAGTAATTGAGAGACTCCAGATGTTCAGATCATGATGACGGCCATATTGCCGCCATCATCATCATCATCATCATCATCATCGTTTTGATGGCACTTCTATCAACCAGTTTATTTTCTTTGCTTGTGCATATCACAAGAGTCGTGATCGAACGGTCGGACAAGGCAAGAGATAGTTCAATGGTAGAAAATCTTTAACGGATCATCGACGAAAATGAGAGTATTACTACTCATGAGAGGTGTTCGATGGACCACTTCATGAACATGCCGTACTGCAATACGGGCAGAGCATGGCGCGGACCATCGCATCATTGTCGTTATCTCGAAGCCTTTTTCTTTGACCTTGGAGCCGGGTTAGGCTTTTGTTGTTGGTTTATGGCTTGGGTGTTAGGGTGTTATTGTATGGAGGATTAGGGTTTGGGGGCTTTGGGCTTTGGAGGGCACCTTCAGCTTGGCAGGTCGCCTTTTCGATGGCAGTCCTGCCCGGACAGGCGCGGTTTGGCTGCGTGTTTGTGACTCTGGCACTTGCCTTGCCGTTGTGGCCGTTCTCGTCGCTGACTTTGGGCATCACCCTATTGGTGATTGTCGTTGCAGGTTTGAGGGTCTGAGATGGGGGACATCAAGTCTATTACAGTAAGAGCAAATTCAGCCGCCTTTCGAAGTGGGCAAAAGCCCATTGCTAGATTCTTCTATGAGAGTCTGCACACATGTCAAGAACTGCCATCGTACCCGGGGCATCTTCGAAGCTGACTGCAACAGTCGCCATTTGTGCTGGGAGGCCAGGCCAGATCAGGACTCAGGACAGCTGTAGGATCGACATGCTTGCTTGTGGTTCTGTATGGCAACTCAAGATTTGTATGTATGTGCGTGCATATATGTAAGTAAGTCGTTTGTCTGGAGGTACGTATGCAGGTATGTACGAGGTATCACTGATACACCGAGAGTCCGAGAGCAGGCAGAAAGAGAGAGAGGGAGAGCTCTCGATAGGCATTCCACGTGAGGGCTCGCCCCTCAAGCCTGGCGATAACTGGCTGCTATCTTGGGAGTTGATTTTCTGTTGTTCGGGAGGCCCGGGTACGATCTCCACATCCCTCGTGTGATCAGGCAGATGTGGGGCAGCGCTTTCTGATCTTCGCGCCGGCGCCTGAGGAAAGCGCTCTCCAAGAAGCGTGGGGTTGAGATTATGGATGTATGCTTCCGGCTTTAAATATCCCGGAGGTGGCATCCTGGATAACCGGAGATAATCATCCAGTCCAGCGCATCTGTGCTTTGGACCACACATGCGACACAAACAAGCATGACATGAAGAATCCATGTTAAAATGTATGCCATGTGACTGTGCAGATTTGAGAAGAGCCACACGGTGTTTTTTTGTTTGAGTTATGCAACCACTTTCATTCGCTCTTGCTCGGCTTGTAACGGATGCATCGGGCTCCAGCGAAGCAGAGCCAGAACACTGCAACTCCGGGTTGGACCCCTGAGCCCTGCACCACACATCCCCACCCCCGCAGGCCAGGCTCCAAGAGCCGCATACCCAAGCTCCAAGAGAAAAGGTAGGACACGCCTGGAGTTCCGAAAAATCCGAACTAGAGAGTTATTCCTACATACATGTCCGTATATAGATATAGACTTCCAATTAGATATATTATGTATATGATTCTAATACTTTCGCATCATCTACTATGTTACACTACCGAATGTGTAGGATTAATCATTCTGCAGTGTTAGATTCCATGATTCGGAAACACTATAAAAAACCTGAAAGGCAACCCTTAAGACCCTAAACCCAAACCCCGTTTCAAAACCCTAACCCCTTTAAACACCCCTAAACCCCGAACCCCTTTCAAAAACCCTGAACCCTAACCCCTCTTTAAACACCCCTAAAGCCCGAACCCTTACCTGTAAAACAAAAGCAAAAAAGAGAACCCCTACCTTTGGCGATGTGCGCGACGGCCACGCTGCGCTGCTCGGGAAGCGGCCGAAGCTTCCGATGCTCCGCTAGGCGGCTGAGGGTATAGGGCGGGTTTACGGGATTAGGGGTTTTGGGGTTTAGGGTTGAGGGTTTAAGGACCCTAAATCCTCAGCCATAGCTCGAAACCTCATTAGAGCCAGCAAGAGGATTCGTACAAAACAGAGCTATGACAGTGGTACAGGGTTTGCTGTTGTTGTTCTTTTCATTTCTTCTTAATACTGTTGCTCTTACGACTGGTACGACTATGAGAGTTATAACTATGGCTCTTGCTAGTAATTAGTAGAATCATCATGGCTACGATCATTAGCAGAAGCATTGCTAGCCATGCCTCGTTTGAAGACACTGCCATGTCCGAGAAATGGGAAGTGCAAAGCTGTGGGGAATATCAGCTGTACTGATACAATGGTAAGATTCTGGAAGGCCCGAATCCTCGTGACAGGTCATAACTTTTCAGGACGTTGATGCTCTGACTTCTGGCTAAGGTTCAATAAGGACTGTTTTCAAGGCCCCCTTCCAAGCATTATAGACTTAATCAAAGATGTCTCAGCGAAAGTGCTTCAACGTATTCCGGGAGAGCACACAGTGGGCCGCTCTCGGCAACGGATGCCCTGAATCAAAAGGATGCATCCGTGCTGTCACTGCGCTATAGGACCTTACTTGCTGATGATGATTGTGGCGGTTATTACGGGAATCTTGTACGGTTTCTGCGACGTGTTTCCTCGATAGAGGTCTCCGCTTTGCGGCGTCGCACCGCGCCCCAGGCGCTTCGCGTGGCTTTGCTTCTGAAAAGGTCGCAGTATTAGAGGTTGCACGAAACTTTTCACGTCACTTGCTTCTGAGTTGCTCCTCATTCGAGTCTAAAAGCTAGAAGGTTCTTACAGCAGGCTCTGGCCCCCGCGGAGCTGAGGTGGTGCACCGCGCTTCGGCTGCTGCGCCGTCTGCTTTCGGCTGGCTCTCTCCGTGTTGGCAGCCTCCAGGAGGTCGAGCCTACTGTATCGATTTATCTGTCTATCTACCTATCTATCTAATGTATGTGTGCATGCATACAGTACATAATATGTGTATATCTATAGACGTATACGAATGTCTAAAGGTGTGTTTGTATAGTTATACGTATATGTATAGGGCTATGTATATGTATATGTATATGCGTATAGGTTCTCCCTACACCGTACACCCCGGATCCTATAAGCCCTATAAGCCGCACACCATTAAACGACTGAGCCCCCAGAACCCTAAATCCTAAAACCCCAAACCCAGAATCTTTTGGACCCCGAACCTTCTAAACCCAAAAACCTTCCAACTCTGGCAGGGTGGAAAGGGTTCATTGAACAAAAATCCGGCCAAACTCCCCAAAACCAACTCTACAACCGCCCCCCCCCCCCCAAACCCCAAAAAAACAAGGTCTAAATTCGAAAGCCTTCCATAGGTGGAGCAGTGCCTCACAGATGCCATCCGAGTGCTGAAGCAGGAGAAGGCCCAGGCCAGGAGTTGCTGGAGGCATCTCTTGGGAGGTTTGGGGTTCAGGATTTAGGGTTTCAGGTTTTTTTAGGGTTTTGGGGTTGATTGCTTATTTGAGGTTTTTTTTTTGTTAGGGTTTGGGGTGGATTGCTTATTTGAGGGTTTTGGGAGGATGGTTGAGGTTGAGGCCTTTAGGCATTCGATACTGGGGGGGACTTGGCAAGCTAAGGGTGTATGGGTTGGCGTGTCGGGGACTCGGGGGAGCAGCGGGATGCTACTGAGGGGAAGATGGCAAGCTGCCTCGAAGGGTTCTTTGCGAGTTTCGAAGACCTCCAAGAAAGAGAGCCCTCATGTTAGGAATGGTTTGCCTTAAATGGTACGACCCATCTCGCATAATCAAGTGGGCAGCCTGCAGTTTGAATCCGCTTGGCCGTAACCCTAAACTCAATCTAACACCCGTAGCGCCTAAATAAAGACCCTGAAGCCCCTAGAGCCCCAACCATTGCATGGCGGAGGCCTCTGTGTGCCAGCAAGAGATCCTCGGATGTCTGTGGAACTCTCCTCAGTTGGAAGTTTCACTTGTTGCATGTGTCCAGTTTACAATACGCACATGTTCATATGCATCCGCATGTACATACATATCTATATCTTTATACATACCTGTATCTACATATAGATCTACATCTATATCTATATTCATACAGATATCAGCCAGTGAAGAAGTGAACATGCAAGCACATCCAGGTACATGAAGCATAAACTTACGCGCATGTCACATAGATGGACTAGGTAAGTAGGTATGTACTGAAGTGTGCTTTGATGGAGTGCTCGTGTTGAGACTGCAGGTATGCACGCGGCCTTTTCTTGCAAGATGCCATTCGCTACGAGGAGCCCTAGCACCAAGCCGGCTGAAAGCAGCAGGCTTGGCATTATTATTCCGAGGAAGAACGTCGATGAGTTCTAGTGGTGAGATGGCCGGCTGAACGGCAACAGCAAGAACAAGTCGTGCTTGACCCGCTGGCACCTGTGGAATTCGACATGTTCATATGTATATGAAAGCGTTACAACCCCAAGCTTAAGCCCGAACCCGTCTGCAGTAAGATCCACAATGCCAGTTCCAAGAGCAGCAAAACCTTATTCGCAGGACGCCGGCGCCTCCTTCGCCGAGGCGGGCCAGTGCTTGGAGGCCCGACTGGTGTATTGTGGGGCTAGCAAGAGCCTCCCATGTCATTCCTAGCCATAACTGTGTCTCCTCGGCTGTTTCAGGGTTGGTTTCGTAAGTCCAGGCTCCTAGGCTCCACTTTGTATCAACTTTAGTTTTGTGCCTGGAGCCTTCGTAGGAGCTTGAAGAAAATCTGGAAACTCAAGAAGACCAGACAAGATGCTATAGAACCTTCTGCGCAGCCACACACCGGAGCCTCGGAGTGCCATGAATGTGAGCCCCAAACCTATATGAGATTGTGAACCTGGAGGGGGGCTTCTGAGTGTGTCTCTTCGCGTTTTGCCCAAGAACTCGGCTGCACCCGAAAACAAGCACCGCACGCAGACCACCCCGTAGACCGGCATCACTTGCGCGTCCGCAGGAAACGCTTTGGCCGGACGCCATTGGATTTCTGCTTAGTTTCTGCCAGTCCGTATGAAATCGAGTGTCTACAGCCCTCTGATCCTCTTATATCCCAAAACCAAGCATGAAGACTCTGAAGCCTGAAAACCATGAGGCCCACACCCTGAACCCTGTCCCTCGACCCGAAACCCCGTAGGAGGGCTTCGGCCTAAACTCTGAAACGCGAGACAACCTAAAATTGACTAAACCCTAAAGCGGCCCGGCAAACCCACATAAACCGTATAGACTCTCTGATGAACCCTCAAGGGTCGATGATAAACCCTTGAGGGTCGATGAGCCCTCTCAAAAATGGCTCCGAACCCTAAACCCTAAACCCTGGCTGGCATTCCAGACATCCTTTGGGCAGACGGAAGAGAGGGCTCAAAAAAAAGAAACCTAAACCCTGTTTCGCCGACTCTCCCAGGAGGCCTTGCGCCGGGGAGACCGTGGGCCGCTAGCAGAGGCGAGGAAGAGGGGAGCTCTCTAAAATTCGGGTCCCTTTGCAGGGTTCCTAATAGGGATCTTCAAGGGTTTCTATAAGGGTACTTTAAGGGCAGTTCTCTAAAATTCGGGTCCCTTTGCAGGGTTCCGAATAGGGATCTTCCAGGGTTTCTATAAGGTTTCTAGGTTTCTACTAGGGCGCCATAACAGCAGTTCTCTAAATTAGGGTCCCTCTTTAGGTTACCAAAATAGTGCGGCGCCCTTATACGAGGACCCTAAGATTGCCCATGTGGGGAGCTCGGAGGGCTCTTGGTTTGGCTTGTCAGACTTATACAACGGTGCTTAAAGGGGTTAATGAGGGGTTACAAAGTACTACGAAGGTGCTCATGGGTGGTATGGCTTCTTGTTGAAGCGGCTTAGAGGGTTTGTCATAGGGCTTCGGTGGTCTATAGGGCTGCTGGGACGTATAGGATCGAGGGTTGTGGGCTGAGGGCTTATGGGGTTCACAGTCCGATATACTTTAGGGATTGGGAATTAGGTTCAGGTTTTATCTTACGGTTGGGGCTTTGGCGCTTAGAGCTTCGGGCTGTAGAAGATTCGATTGTTTCTTGTTCTCAGCTAGGCCTAGCAGCTAGGCCTCTTGTAGGCAGCACATTTGGGCTCAGGGGTCATGCAGAGTCATTCGAAACTAAAGACATATAATTACGCCGGTGTTGCTTCGAAACGACTCGGGTTCCCGGGAAAGAAGCTATTTAGCGGATAGGCTGTTACTATGAGGGGGAACCCTGGAAGGGGCCGGTATCATAATATGGAACTTCAGAACAACTCTCCAACAACGATCATACGACACGTTGTTGTTCTATGTAGAGTCTACAATGTAGAGCAATGGCATCTGCTTTGTACAGTCCAACTTGTTGAGTGTTCATTGGTACCAGGAGTTAACAGTTGTGTTTAAACAGATTCTTCTAACAATAGACGATGAACGCGGAAGCTTTGAATCTAGGGTGTAGGGTCGGTGATCGTATTTTGCTGCAAACCCTGCACCCCGAAACCCCACTGGCTTTCAGGTTTCAGCTCTAGTACGAAGTAAGAGACCTGCAACCCTCAACCCGAAAAATCCTAAACCCTAAATGTCAAAGCCTCGTCCCTCAAAAAGGCGCCCCCTAAAAACACAGCCTGGACGAGGCATCGCGGCGCTTCTTCATGGTCTGCCTCACCTACCAGAGACGGTTTTTGGAAGCCTTGCGACTGGGAGAGGCTCTCGGGGGGGGTGGGTTGATCCTAAACACGGAAACACAAAAGGGTTCAGGGTTTGTTGACTTGGACCTGAGGGTTAAGAGTTCAGGATGTGGTTTTGGGCTGGCGAGTTTTGGTGTAACTAAATCCTTAGCTTGTTTTGCGGCTTCTAGGTCATTTAGGAGCGACTTTAGGGTGCACAATCTGTTCTCTAAAGTTCGAAGGTCTCGTTTCGGGATCAGATGTTTTGGCTTCTCAGCTCTGGTTTTCACAACGCGTCAAATAACTCGGAATCCCTAAGCAAGCTGAAAGGAGACGTTGCAGCTCTTCCGCTCCGCCTCTGTCCTTCGGCTGCTGGGCGAAGTTCGAAACCAGCTGGGCCTGCAATTGGCCACAGAGGACTTCTTGCCTTCTGGTGTTCAGGGCTCCAAGGGCCTAGGCCTAGGCTGTGATGTGTTTGAATTGTAGCGAACTCTGCATGGCAAAATGGAAAGACAAAACAGAGGTGATGTTCGAACACAAACCGGAACCAGGCCGAAAAAAGACTCCCGAAACCAGCCCGGCTCAGAGACACTGATAAGTTATTCAGCGGTCAATTTGAAGCCGAAAAAACAAGTCACAAAAAGCGCCCCGAAAGGGTCCGCAAAGTTTTAGGTGCCCTTGGGAAAGCCATAGCGGCAGAGGCCACGTTCTATGTCCCAGACGAATATCGGGATTGCTATGGTGCGCAGGGTGCAGTGCTGGCAAGACCGCTTGGCAGCAAGGAGACAGGATTCTTCCTCCGTGGCAACAAAGCGATGGATGATGCTGCCAAGAAGCAAATGCCGCTTGTGATCCTCGCCGATGACGTCGCCGAGATTTTGTGCACTCAGTTTGCCCGCTCCACATGGGCCAAGCCAGGGCAGCGAACTCCTGTGTCATTTTTGACCACCGCAAGTGCCAGTTGGAACGGCATGTTGCTGTCTGGTGCTCGCCTGGGAGGGCTGCCGCCGAACAGCAACGCATATGCAGAAGGCAAAGGTTGGGATGCCCACAACAAGGTCACGACGCTTTGCAGCCTGCGTGGTGACTTTTTAGTCGCACACCCCAACGCCGAGCCGCGGATCGACCCTCACATCCCGGAGGGGAGGAAATGGGACTTTGACTTAGCAGCACAACATTTGTTCAAGTACGGCGGGGTGGCACGCCTGAATTACGCCCTCTGCATGGCTGATGATTTCAATTTGGCTGGTGGTTTCGAGAAGGGCACGGAGGTCAAGCGTAACATCGGTGAAGGTCGCGCCGTGGAGTACTTCTGCAAGAAGTGGCCGCAGTTTCTCATCGAGGTTGACGAAAAAGCTAAGCCGAAACGGTCGCCCAGCCACCACATCAAACTGCACGTTTCAAAAGAAGCAGCACGCACGTTGCCCAAAATGGTGGTGGTCCCCAGCCAGAATCTCCAGCGACTCGCGCCGGGACGGGCGAAGCCCCGTAAACATTTGCTGCTTGGTTGCCATGGGAGCCCTTTTTCTTTTGTTTTGTTTTTAACCCCCTCCTGTTTCTTTAACCCCCGAACCTGTCTCATGTTTTTAATTCCCAGCCTGTTGTGTTTGACCCCTGGTCCGCTCCTTGCTTGCAACCTGGTTTTTTAACCCACAAACCCATATTTCTCACCCCCTATCCGGCCCCCAAATTTCGCCCCCTCCCCCAACGCCACCGCCCCCCCAACCCCCCGTCCCCCGGAAATAGTCCCTACTACAACAAGAACCTCGATACCACAACCAGAAGCCGTATACTACAACCAGAAACTGGACCCTACTACAACTAAGCAGCCATTTGCGCGAAAAAGGTACTGGACAGGCCTTTTTGTGGTTACTATTTGCAGGTTTGAGCCGCGGTAGTAAACAATCGGGCTTACCGGGTTTAAAGCCTCTGGAGTATTACACTAGTAGGTTTTTCAGGTTTGAAGCTGTAAGCCTTCGGGTTTTGCAGGTTTGAAGCCTTCGCGGTAGTAAACCTTTTGGTTTTAAGGTTTAAGACTTCTGGGTTAGCACACTAGTGGGTTTTCAGGTTTGAAGCTGTAAGCCCTCGGGTTTTGCAGGTTTGAAGCCTTCGTGGTAGTAAACTTTTTGGTTTGGGGGGCTTAGAAATTCTGGGCTAGTACACTAGTGGGTTTGTCAGTTTTGAAGCTGTAAACCCTCGGGTTTTGCAAGTTTGAAGCCTTCGCGGTAGTAAACCTTTTGGTTTTAAGGGTTTAAGACTTCTGGGTTAGTACACTATTGCAGGTTTGAAGCCTTCGTGGTAGTAAACTTTTTGGTTTGGGGGGCTTAAAAAAATTCTGGGTTAGTACACTAGTGGGTTTTTCAGTTTTGAAGCTGTAAACCCTCGGGTTTTGCAGGTTTGAAGCCTTCGCGGTAGTAAACCTTTTGGTTTTAAGGGTTTAAGGTTTTGAGATTTTTGGGTTAGTAAACAATTGGGCAGGTTTGAAGCCTTCGCGGTAGTAAGCTTTTTGGCTTTAGGGCTTTAAGACAGTTAGTGTTAGTTCTTAGTCGTTCGTGATGAAGATTTAGTGGACCGTACCATCCGGACGAGAAGGGTGCCTACTGCAACTGTTGTTTTTTAGAAACGAATGTGTTTCCTTAAACGTTCGTCATCAGATTGGAAACCATGCAAAGTGTGAGTTTTTAGGCTGGTTGTGACATGGTGGTTTCTGGCTTGCACAAGTCCAGGCCCAGTTGTGGTATGGGGCTTCTGCTTGTGCTATTGGGCTTCCGGTTGTAGTAGTGACTAGTCGTCCCCTCCCCCGCCCCGCCCCCCTTTGAGATGTAACCTGGGCGTGTATCCCCTCGCAGAAAGCGTACAGGAACACACGCAGCACAGGAATCGCTTTTGCTACAAGCGCACAGCTGTAGTAGTAGTTCTTGTTAGACTTTGCTAGGCTAAACTTTACTAGACACGTTGCTAGATTGCTAGACATTGCTAGAACTTTGAGCAACAGGCATGGATACATGCCAGTGATACGTGAGACATTGACAGGCACTTGGATGTGAAACATCTCAGTGTTTCAACCAGGCACAAATTTTAAAGCACGTAGAACTGCATGGCCGTGAAGTCGGCATTCTACTCGCATGTTTTGATGCTCAAGCGAATTAGACGCGGAGTAAAACATGAGTTACGAGACTTGGTGACTTCCGAGAATTGAAAAGTTCTCAGCCTGACGGTTTGGGACCAAGGACTGGAGGTTCGAGGCCTGAACTTGACCGCTGCGGTTTTGCCTCAGGTACTACCAGTACGCCGTCGACCCTGACGACGACGACGCGTATCACATCGTCTTCAAGGGCGGAAGGGTTTTAGGGTGTGGGGGAAGGGGTTTGGGTTTTCTTGTGCAGTGGAGGAGAACCAAAACCAAAAAAAAAAAAAACAAAGCCAAAAAAAACACACAAAACACAAATCAGAAAGTCGTGATCCAGAGTTCGGGACAATGCCACTTACAGAAGACCTTCTGATTTTTTTGTTTTGTTTTTTGTTTTGTTGTGATTTTGGTTTTCTGTTTTTTTTGATTTTGGTTTGATGCTATTTGAGGTTTTGTTTATTTTCTACTCACTGTTGGTTTGCTGTAGCCCTCTTCACGCTTTAGCGCTCTGTTGTAACAAGACCGTGCTGGAAAGCAATGTGGACTCGCCATATGGAGTGCGCGACTAAATTGCCGGATGAGATGATTGCAGAAATCTGGAGTTTCTCACAACGCATCTTGTCTTGTTAATAAGGTTTTTTCGTTCCAAACACTATTCTTTCTTCTGATAGCCTTTATTTCATATGTGAAGGCAACGATAACGATGAGGGAACTCTCGGACCCGTACCTGGCCCACCAACTCAGCATGAGATCTTCATTGGCTTCCTGCCAGACGGTACTTGCTCGCATATATTACTGTTTCTATAAGATAGTCTTATCATCGTCAAACCCTCGTTTGATAAAAATGTCAATGCTCATATACACTGAGGTTCCCGCGCAGTGCGCCTCGGTGAGCTCATGTACAAAATCACTCGTGCCGGAGAAGACCGCCTCAGCGACGCTGATTTGACTTTCTTGGGCTATTGAATATCAACCTTGGGGTGGAGCTGATCAGTTAAACTGACATGCTCTATCTCGGCCCCTGCCGTTGCAGGAAGGTAAAACCGGAATGGAGCTGTTCAGTTAAACTGAAATGTTCTATCTCGGACCATAATGTTCATTCCTCTGCCGTTGCGGAAAAAAAGCCAATGCTTGCAAGTATCTGAACAGCGGATGCACAACTTTTGCGGTTCCTATATAAGCCATCACCGTAACATTTTGTCAAAGCTAGCAGAATCATACAGTCGCTAATTGTCCTTCGTTCCGGCATCGTTCGCGTGCCTCGCGAATCATGTCGAGTTAAGCCGCAGAGCACGACATCCAAGATGGAGGTTTCAACTTTGAGGAGGCATGTGCACATGCACAAGGTCAAAAACTTTAAGGTTGGGAAACCAAGCCCATCAAGTCGGATCGCGCTGTTGGTACAGTTCGAATATCTGACCTCCCTATTCGTCATTTGGAAGCTTCGCCGGCTAAGATCGAGCAGTTCGCAGACATTCTTATGGGATATCACATTGACTTCACACCCGGTATGTTCGAGCAGGTCTACCAGTTGTGTTATGATGGCAAGTATGGACAGCTCCCCGAGCCGTTTTCTCTTGTGAAAGCACCCCTTGTGCCCTACACAATCCAGTTCGTGATCCTGCCTGCCTCTGTGCCCCAGGATGCCGATCCAAATCGATCCTACTATCACATCGTGAAGCACGTCTATCTGCATCGCACCAAGATCCCATCCAAGGATTGCGTCGCAATGTGCAAGGGAACTCCTATGAGAGGTCTTGGAGCCTTCAACTACATGATGGACAGAATGGGCGGTCAACAACTACGCCATTGGATTGTCAAACCCAAGTATGAGAAAAAATGATTTGAGATCAACAACAACGCTCTTTAGGTTATGAGTTCATCCACAACTTTGGGCCCCGATGCAACAATCGGAACCAATTCATGGAGTGGACGGACGAGCAGATCCACACTCCAGGACTCCAGGTGGTAAACTGGAGAATTGGCCGGAAGCCAAGGTGAAAGAAGCACTTTCGAACTACATTGAAGGCAGGCAGAATGCCAAGACCCTGGAATTCTGGCCCTTCACGTTCAAAACGTTCATCCCGTGGTTTCTGAACCGTGTGCCTCAAAGACCGTTCTGTTTATGCAATCCACGTACGAAATCAACGAAGCGGATCGATCCGATCTCGTCCCCTCGGTTGTGACCGTGAAGCATCTCGACTTTCAAGGCGGAGCCGCTCACAAGGTTCAAAACAGGGGTTTTCGACGACGGAATGTTGCAACGCATGGATTCTTCATTCCTGAAAGCCTTTCTGAACCCGTCTGCTGCTTGTCTGAGGTTTATACGTTTTTCTTTTTCTTTTTGGTAGTTGTTTTCGGACTGTTCAATGATATCATAGTTGAGTCTATTTATTTGTGTTGAACTAGCAAAGCTTTCTCAGGAGGAAGATGCGACAGTATGGGCCCGGTATTCCTCTGCTCAATTTGATCAAGGCGCCGGACTTCATGCTTGCAACAATCCGTATGACAAAGAAATTGACCAGAAGCTATACGACACCATGAATGCTTCGAAGGTCTGGAGTGCTAGTCATGAAGAATTCCTGAAAATGATCAAGCCTTCTTTCCTTGCTGTCGATGAAGACGAGGATATGGATGCCATTCTTGCCCGGACTCACCTCATCGTCATCACAGACTCAGGTGTCTACTATCGTGTTGCCAGCACGTCCAACGACTCTGTCAACTTCATGCCTTGGGATCCGAATGAGCCAAAGGACCTCGTGACCGCCTCCCAGCACCACATTTTCAAGGAATACAAGATGAACCCGCACGTTCACAAGTACCCGGCATCATACTACGAGGATCTCGCATGGTCACAAGAGTTTTTGCGACGTCTCCTTCATGGCGAACGTGTGCCCGAAACCATCACAGTCGTGCAGCGCGCGAACATCTTTAGCGAATCGTCTGCAAGGCACAAACTTAGAACTTTATTTTTCTTGTTGCGCTTAATTCGCTTCTCAAATAAGGAAACCATAAACGGTATAAGTGTGACCAGATAAACTTTACGATTTTGCTCGCAAGATGCAGGTCGTCAACGTCTCGGCATCCAGAACTTCTGTCTCCGACCGTTCTGCGCACCAGGGTCAAGCAAGAAAAGGTGGACCAAACATTCCGGAGCTTGAAAGGCTCATCCTCGGCCGTCATCGACATCTCTTCCCCATCTCCCAAGAAGACTTGTACGGCATCCACCTCTTCATCCGAGATGTTGCCTCCGCCTACGGCATGCGCTCCCCATCCGAGATGTTGCTTCCGCCTACGGCATCCACTCCTTCATCCGAGATGTTGCCTCCGCCAAAGCGTGCTAGAGTTCCAGTGAATCCAGATGTTCATGGACCCCCCAGATGCAGATGACGACGACGATATCATTCCGCAGATTGGTCATGTACCCGACGAACTCGAAACCGAGCTAGAACTGCTGATGGACGAAGCCGAGGTGATGACAAGATGGACATTGCCGAGTGAGTAGTTTGAGTGCAATATGTTTAACATTCTGCGTGGCGCAAGTTCCGATGTTGGTTTTGTGCTTAGTCGTATCGGTGTGACATGATTGTGTGTCGTGATGTGGCATATGCCCTTTTAGATAGTTTCAATATGGAGTTTTGGTGCCATGATGCTCGCCGCATCTGTATCTGTATCTAGCTCGTTCGCCGCGTGCAAAAGAAGAAACACACACAAGTTCGCTGGTGTAGTAAGTAGGTGAATTGACACACTGGACGATTCGTATGCTTTTGTTTGTTAGCTTTTTCCGGTTCGAAGAAAACAGCTGCGATGGCGACGTACCAAGACTGGATAGCATTCCGTGAGGCCGTGCTCTCCGCCAATCTCCTGAACCGCACCGAGTTCTTCGCAGTCGTTCGTCACAGTCACGTTCGCGATGTTGAAGGTCTACCAGACACAGCGGCTACTCGTGCTTTGTTGGCATGCCAAGGTCTGCGGCTTGTACCTCCACAACGCGTTTGCGGTCATTGCGATATTCCCTTCAAGCTCTACTCCAAGTCGGCTAGATATAAATGGTCTGGTCCTCGATACGAAAGTACGGGTTGCATGGGTTGCCACATGTGTCTCGGACAAGAGTACTCGGCTACCTCCATTGGCTTTCTTTCCCAAGTACAGCAGCACATGTGGATGAAAAGCTTGACTGTTTTGCAAGGTGGATTTTCGAGTATTCCCGCCATCAACTTCTTCGAGAATTACACTTCTTCGAGAATTACATCCAACCGCCCATGACAGAGTCGATTCTCGGACTAGATCGTTTCAACAGACCCTAAGTGGCTGGTATCAAGTGCAAATTCAGTCAGGCTTTGAGGGTGCCATCCTCCAGAAAATGATGACAGGCAAACGCAACAGCATGCGTAGACCGGCTTCCGCAACCATCAACCTTCGTCATCGACGTCTACATTGAAGCGGCCTTCTTCCTCGTCAGTTCGAAAGAAGCCGTCAGGTGTCAACAAGCTACATCTGAAGAAATCCGGTAGTTCTCGCATCTTCATCGCAGACGAGACTCACTTGAACAAGAGGAAACCAAACATCTTGGCTCCAAGCGGCCGTCTGCAGCGAGACCAGATATGGCTTTGGGGTCCTGTCCTACACAGTCACTTGAAGACCCACTTCATTTTCCGTGTCCTGAAGCATCATGAAGCCTTCGATGGCAAGCCTCGCGGCCACAAGGAAATGCTGCATAATTAACCTTTTGGGTCTTCGTAAAGGGGACGTTTTCGTAAGTGATAAGTGGCGTGCCACTTTGTCTGCTGTCAAAGCGTTTCGCGACAACCACAGTCTCACTGAGAGCCAGCTGCGTCATGATATTGTTAACCATTCCGCTGGGGAAATCGTGCATAACAGCGGCTTCAGTACGAATGCTATCGAGTGCAAATGGTCGGTGATAAAGAGATGGATCAGGCACAAAATGTTTGGCATTCTCCCGGCACACTCTGACCGTACGAAGTGGTCCTGGCTCATCGACGAATTCCAAGCAAGGTCAATGTTGAAAGCACTGGCATCTCATTCGTTTGATAAAGGCAATATGTGTGTCGTTCGCTTTCATGATGTCGTCAAGCTTTTCCAAGTTGCGTGATGCTTCGCAGTTGTTTTCCAAATCCCGTCGCTTATCGCTTCGGTAAAACAAAAGCGTCGCTGTCTTGCGCGCACGTATCGCATCTGGGCCACTGCATATGCTTTAACGCTCGTCTTTTCTTTCGGCTCAACAGACATTGTGATATCACCTAGCATGGACGACACTGTGCATGAAGCAGAAACACAGCGGTCAGGTTCAGGCTTTGAACCGGACTGGAGAGTTCAGGAAGTGCCGGTGGTACTGCTCTTGCAGGTATTTTTTTCCTTGCGTAAGCCGGGTAGCAAGTCCAAGGGACCACGGTTGAAGCCATGTAAACGCGCTGGACATCCAAGAATCGCAGTTTCTGCATCCCTACTCCCTGGTCGAGATTGCTTTTAAATCAGGGCCATAGCCGGAACTGCCGTATGGAGCAGTGTTAGCTTGCAGAGCCCTAGATAATAATAAGGATAGTTATACTAGTAGTAGTCATAATGATAGTAATAATGGCAACAGTAATATAAATAGCAGAAGTACTATGCATAATGATTAACTATCATATAGCGCTTGCACGAAGGAGCCGCAGCGAGCGGCCGCCGCTTTCCACGCAGCGCAGTGCTGCTTTTGGCCAGATTGAACCCGGAGGGCCCAGTACCCTGCGACCCTTGTAATAAAGGAGGACACCTAAGTCTTAAACTGTATGGCAGAGGTTCCTGTTGTCATGTACAATATACTCAGCATTTTAATTCCTTCTTCGGTGGTCGTGGGCTCTCAAGGGAAGGTAAGGTTTGCTTCCCAGCAGATTGTGGCACATGGCTTCCGCAGAGTTCTATTGTTTATTCCTGCCATAGTCTTCGTGTGCGATAAGAGTTTATTCTGAAGTGACAGGGAGAGAGCGAGAGAGAGAGAGAGACACAGAGACAGAGACGAGGGGAGAACTTTAACGAATTGGTTTGATGATAGGCTTGGAGCGTGATTCGACAATCGGCCGAAACTTCCAGTGTACTGCATGTGAACACAAGGCCTGTGAAGTGACCCGGGGGATGAAGTTACCATAAAATAATCAAAGAGGCACATTCAAGCAAAAGGGGAATCTACACAGCCCATTTTCACACTCCCCCAAAGTCCCCACCAAACTTAGGGGGGCCCAGGTGGCCGAGGGATCTTAACAGCCCCTCATGCCCGGCAGAAAAAGAGAGAGAGGCACGAGAGAGAGAGAGAGAGAGTGAGTTTATACATGCCTTACGCCGTATAATCAGTCCTAAGCCCTAAGCCCGACACATTAACCCCCAGAGTTTGCAAATCTCTATAAACCCCAACCCTTAAACCCTAGATGGCCCTACATCGTATCAACCCTAAACCGAAACTCCACAGCCAGGTCACTTCGCAGAGGCAGAGGACTCGGCTCCGGGTCCCTCGGCTCGCGTAGGATGGTAGATCGAGTCAGCTTCTTTCGAGGTTTTGAGCTGAGGGTTGAAAGGGTTTTTGTCAGTTTCAGGCAGTCTAGCGCTGAAATTTTAGCTTGAGGCTCACGACGAACTTCAGGTCCGACGCCTGTGGAGGCTTGCAATGTTATGCGCATTTGCTCTCGGAGTTTACATTCGCTTAGGTGCTTCGTTCATGCAGCTCTGTACCCGTCTACTCTACGTTTTCACCGTTGGGTCTGTGAGCATTCCCAGGAAGCTCGTGTTTCTCTGCCTACGGCTATATCTGCATACTCCTCGATGCACAGGTGGCACAAGACCTAGAAGCCTCTGGATCAGGGATTGCCGAGCACAGCACGTACAACTTGTTGTGGTGCTTGTGCACCCTGCGTTAGGCTATCCGCAAAGCTACACGAGCTGGGCGCTCTCTTACACGATGTTGGGGGACCTGTCTGGCGCCGAGCAAGTCGCGCTCAAGGCCGTTGCCGTTTGACATCTGTTACCGGAGGAGGTTGAGGGATGTTGAGGGTCTGTGGCAGGCTTTCGGAGACGGCACCCGCTTGGACTCTCAATGTCGAGACTTAAACAGAAACACAGAGCTCGAGTTGTTTGCTGATGTGCAAAGCAGGATCGCAAGTAGCCTTGATCCTAAAAGAAGAGACCGGGCAGGCCGTGCAGCGCTGCAGTGGCTTTTGGGTGCATCCGCTGCAACGAGCCCTGGAGAACACTTGAGCGAGTGCCTCAAACATCCTTCTTGTGGATCGACGATGACCCGAAAATCCCAGGACCTGGCCATTTCGTGCCTGGCCTCACGTCCAAAGCTTGGCACGAGGCCAGGGCCAGGGCTCGACTGCCAGAAAGAGATGTAGCAAAGACTATAGTAGCTACAGTGAACTTCGGTTCCGCCGCGAGGCACCATGACAGGCAGAGCAGCAGCCCGATTTCGTCCGAAGCTGTGATGCTTCAAGCGGGAGTTTCGTTGCGATTTCTCTGATCTGATCTGATCTGCCTGCTTGAATTTGATCAGAGCCTTCTGTTTGTACGGGGGCTGTGGGGACGGTGACTTTTCGAGGCGCAGCTGTTTCCCTGGATGGCCAAGTTAGAGCTGCACTGGTCCCTCGGCTGTCGGATCTGGATCCTAGTTGAGGTTGGCCAACTAACTATAGACTTCTGAGAACCAAGGTGATGGACATTGATGCGATTTGAGTAATGTGTGCTAGCAGCACAAGCTTCCGAAAAGCTGCCGCCACGAGCTCACCACAATCTGAGCAACCCTAAACCAAAAGCCGAGAGGAACTCACTGTTGACCCTGAACTATGGTGTGCGAGCAACTGTGCGTGGACGACGCTGAAGAAGAAGTTGCTGTTGTTGATGATGATGGCGATGATGATGATGATGATGATGATGATTATGATGATGATGATGGTGATGACGGTGACGATGACGACAAAGATGACGATGATGATGACAACTATGTTTGTGTAGTGTCGATCTTGGAAGTGTTTTGTTTGTCGCCTCTGCGAGTAGGCGCCGTTGCGAAATGGCTCTCGTCCATACTTTCGTCGAGTGCTCATACTAGCATTCTGCTGCCACGCATCGTTGCGACATGGCTCCCCTTCCATGATGTGGCCGAGTACTCCTACCCTTGTTTCTACTGCTGCCACATCCATCACGCTCGCAATATCTTCACCTCAGCGATCCCGGTTCAGTGTCCCACCGTTGTCGACGAGTTCCCAAGTTGGCGAGGGAGGTAGTTTGGCGGCGAATGCCAATCTAGTCTTCGTCTGTATGTATGAGTTTACGTGTGTGTGTGTATGTATATATATACACACGTATATGTGTATGTGTATATGTCTGTATATGATCGAGTATAGCATTGGTACAAATGCATTACGCTGGGTTGATGGCAAATGTTTTGTGATCCTCTTCGACTGTCGGGCATGAGATCACATGAATGCATGTGGAACCAGTCCAGAAGCTCTCGAGGCGCGAGATCCGCGAGGAATTGGAGGCCCTGGAGGCCGTTACTGGAGTGTTCCAGCACAAGCAGCAGAAGCACAAGTACGAGTCACGAGTCGTCGTAGCAGCAGCAGCAGCAGCAGCATTTGTGAAGGCAACGGTCAATCCACACAGCGGAGAAACGTAGAATTATAGTATAGCGGGCATGGCCAGATTCCCCCGTGACTCGCGAATTGCCAAGTCCAGGCCTCCATTTCTCAGATTGTGAATTTCGGTGTTTTGCGAGGACGGCGAGTCCTGGCCAGAGGTCCGAGGGCACGACCGCAACCTGGCAGGAGGGCCACTCGGAAGCCAATTTCGGGTTCAAAGACGATGAGACGATGAGGGTTTGGCTGGCGATGTGGGAGCAACCTCAGCGCTTGAAGCAGTTGCAGCACCACACCATACCACACCACTGCCATCGCCACTGTCATCACCAGCATTCGTTCTCTCTTTGACAAGCTGAACACTCGGTGGCCTGAGCTTCTGCTCCACCTCCCCTGCTGCTGCTGCTGCTACTGCTACTGCTACTACTCCTACGACTCCTACTAGTACCACTACCACTACCACTACCACTGCCACTACTACTACTACTACTACTACTACTACTACTACTACTACTCCTACTCCTACTCCTACTCCTACCACTACCACTACCTACTACTACTACTACTACTACTACTACTACTACTACTACTACTACTACTACTACTACTACTACTACTACTACTACTACTACTACTACTACTACTACTACTACTACTACTACTACTACTACTACTACTACTACTACTACTACTACTACTACTACTACTACTACTCCTGCTGCTGCTACTACTACTACTCCTACTACTACCCCTATTATGCCTACTACTACTACTACTACTACTACTACTACTACTCCTACTACTACTACTACTCCTATTATTCCTACTATGCCTACTACTACTACTACTACTACTACTACTACTACTACTACTACTACTACTACTACTACTCCTACTATTCCTACTATGCCTACTACTACTACTACTACTACTACTACTACTACTACTACTACTACTACCACTACTACTACTACTACTACTACTACTACTACTACTACTACTACTACTACTACTCCTACTACTCCTACTACTCCTACTACTCCTACTACTCCAACTACTCCTACTACTACTCCTACTACTCCTCCCGCTGCTACTACAGCTGATACAACAACTACTACTACTACTACTACTACCACTACTACTGCTTGTAACTACCATGACGACAACGACTACCGCTGGTACTGCAACTGCTACCGCTAGTGCTATTGCTACGGCGACACTGTGGCATGCGCAATGAGTAGATCTGAGTTGGTGGTGGTTGGGAGTCTAGCACGAAGCCAGTGTTAATATTAAAATCGTAATAACTGCAATAATACTAATTTAACCCCAAACCCTAAGCCCAAAACCGTCCTTTTCTGACTGAGGACCGGCATTTGGCGCGAGTTCTCCTTATTGGGACTTTCTGCCTCGCCACTCAGACTCAACCTCAGCAGCTCGCAGATGTACCAAGCCGGTCTGAGTCAGACACGACTCATCCAAGCAGTAGAATAGCCTTGGATCAAAGGTACGCACGGACCCGCACTGTTGAGCAGGTTGGATGACATGGCGAGACGAAGCTGTTCAAAGACGACTGAGCTTCTCGAGGAGGCAAAAACACTTCCAGAAGCCTTGCTGACTCGGGATGTACTGTTTCTTTGAACCCGGTTCATCGATTAGGGTTCTTACTGGAATTACTGCCAACCAAGAACATGGTTGCGATCATTATGCATCTGGGTATGCTAGCAGTCATTTGCGAGCTTCAGCCCGACCGGCAATTAGAACTAGACCCCTGAAACTTTGTAAGCCCCTTGCAAGCCCTAAGCCGCAATTGTGGCACCTGGAGGTGGAGGCCGTGCGCAGCCACCGGGACCTCTGTCCGGGCGAGGAGACGGCGCTCTTCTCCCGTCACCCGGGTCGAACTGTACTTAGTTGGACTTTGAGGTTTAGGGGTGTAGAGTTTGTCAATGGTTGATGGAGTTTTGGGAATGGGTTTAGATGGTTCGGGGTAAGGAGTTATGCTTGGACTGATGGCTGGATGAAGATCAAGCAGGGTGGTGCTTGAAATTCTGTACGATGTTTTCTTGCAGACACTGCCATGTACCGTCCTTACCAGAGCATCCTACGACACACAGGAATCCGCTTGGGACTTCAATGTGACTGTGTGTCTGCAAGAGCGCGAGAGCGAAGAGAGAGCGAGAGAGATAGAGAAAGACAGGGAGTTTTGGCTCAAGCCGCAGCTTTGCCTCGCAGCAGCCCCTTTGCGAGATCAGAGGACATGCCACATGTTTTCAGTATCACTCCGACTTCGCGCCAAGCACCTCGCCCAGCCACTTAGTGATGGCGGCGTCAGCGGTTCATGCCGGCCAGAGAAAGCTTAGCTCCTCGCAATTCTTGGCACTCATGCAGATGGGAGCTGGTCAACGAACTCCTGGTGGTGCTGTTCGACATGGGTGTCACGTTTCCACCGCAGCACCCTCGTCACATCGGCGGCTACACGTACCTATCATATCAGCTTCTGCCCCCGGGGGATACAACATTCGCTACTCACTCGCCTTCATCTCGATAAAAACTATCGGGTGGGCATGCAGCCCAGAAGAAGGGGCCTTTGAGAGCGGCACGCGCAGGATCTGAGGGGCAGTTTCCGCCGCCTGTTTAAGCTCATGTTGGTTTGCATTTTGTCGGAGGCAATGTGAGATCCTGTTGAGCCACCGTGCAGGGGCATCCTTGCAAGAAGCTTGAGGGAAGGGGGAGAACGATCCCTTTGGGCCCTCCTTACCATGGTGTTGTTTTTACTGTGTCAGCTGTTGTTGTTGTTGTTTGGCTGCATTTCGTCTTCCTTGCATGGGGTTGTTTGTCTAACCTCTTTCGCTGTCGGCCTCACCAAAATGGGATGCGCTCGACGCAGGGGAGTGGGGGCTCGCCCCTTCCCCAGGCCCAAGGAAAGAAAGAATAAAACAGAGAGACAGACAGAGAAAGAGAGATCGTGCTGTTCGAGATTAGCCTGGTCGATGGGAGTCGCTGAATCAAAAGCAGTGTGTCCTGCCGGTTGTCTGGTACTTGCACATATGCTACGATGGTACATAGCGGTATGCTATAGTGCGATGTAGTATTATGGACATCCTTGAGCCCGCGGGGGTTCTTGTTAGACGTTGTCAAACTCTTGTCGCGCAAGGGGTTCTCCTGATGCCGCAGGCATTTGAAAAGCTGCAATAACCCAGGCCGAGCCGGAATTGTCGAAGCTAAGTGCTGATAAATGTACGACACTGCAACCGATTATTAGGACATCACTGTCCACTGCCGCATACTCACAGCGACATAGTCACAGAGTATTTGCAGGCCTATAGTTGCCCGATCGGCGTAGGTACCGCAATTGTGCTGCGGTAAGTAACGCCGTAAGTTCCATGATGTTCATGCTAAGTCTGACTCGCGCAGGCAAAAACGTGTAAACCCTCACCCTCACCAGGCCTGACGCCTGGCACGCAGCTCAAGCCTCATTGTGGGCCGAGCAACCTACACCTGACCTGCCACCTCGGCCTGAAGGCTCCTGAGAGAGGGCGACCAAGCTGCCGCGTTGGCTCTCATCCGGTGGATCGTTCTGTCTACACCGCAAACTCAGGAGACAGTTAAGAAGTCATCTTGCGCAGCTGCTGCTTTGCTTCCATGCCCTGCGTATCTCCCTCGATCCGAAGTAGCAGGTGCCGGCAGGTTGCGCCATCCGGGTGGGCCATGAATGGCGCGCCTGGGAGGAGGGTGCCTGCCCGAGTGCAGAATTCTTCGCGGGGAGTCTGCTTCAGAGATGGCCGGCACTCTACAGTATGTGTAGTTTTCGTCTCGGCTTCTGTCTTGGAACCGTCAAGGATCAAGCGCTGTGCCACGCCGCTACAAGTTTTTCAGAGATCCAGTCCGTCCCATCCCCTCGAACTTGAGATTTTCGGAAGCATGCTTACATAATCACTCTGTTTTATCCATCTTAGAGTCCTGGAGCTCCCTGCCCAAATCTCTCAAAAGCCAGGCCACGAAACCCTGAACCGTTTCCCGAAACAGACCCTAGACCCCGACTGAGGCCGATGTTTGGTCTTCGATGACTCTTTTGAGCATGAGGAAGCTGGGAGTGGGGGGTGTCAGGGACCAGATCCTAAAGCCTGCACGTCTTAGTCATAGTCCATGCATCCCAAATCTTGACGAGCCACGGTCACTACGTAAATTATTGAGTTGAACTGCCTTATGCTTCTTATGGTTCCTACTCCTCTCTGTATACTGGCTCGCTATTAGTAGTCTTGCCAGTATGCAACCTGCGTGGTCGTTACATGGCGTGCAGCCCGTGTTTGCCATCGTGGACATCAGAATTACTGATACTGGCTTACTAGCTGGTATCTCTTCCTCGGGTTCTAGCATTGCTACCCTTGTTCATCTGATGCTGAACCAGGAACTCCTGGATGACGTCGGAGGAGGGGTCGTTAGAGGATACTGCGACGCAAGGGTGCGAGGATCCTTTTCATACTACCTAGGTGTACGAGCCGCAGCCCCGAACCCTGAAGCCTAATTCCCACAACTACATCCCTGAGTCCCGGAACCCCAAGAGCCCAAGAACTACAGGCCGAAACTAAGAAAGATCTGAGATAGTAAATATACAGGTCCGGCATGACGGGCCCGACAATCGATTTGCTCGGGCCCCAGTGCACTTCTAACTCTACTGCTTATTATTATTAGCCTATTCTCGGGCGTCAGACTCGCCAGGGCGTTTTTTATCGAACCCTTTATCAAGTCGGCATCCTGGACGGCATTCAGAGCTCCATGAGATGTAGGAAAGCAGAGCCTTCAGCGATATGATGTGACGGCCGAAAGCTCATATAGGTCAGCTACGGTGACGGCTCATGCCTGATATTTTCGCGCAGCAATGTCTTTCTTTGACGTCTGTTCGGTGTCTACTGCGGAATGAACACGGCTTGCCCACTGCGCTGACACTCAAGCTCTCCAGCTCCAGCGCAAGGGGTTGCACGAATGTAACCACAATTGCGAAGATGGTCGTGACCATGGTGACGATGAAAACAAGATACTGGTGCTGGCGATGTTGATGATGATGACTGTGATGATAATCATGATGCTGATGATGACGCCTCCGTAGCATGTTCCATTAGCCTTGGGCGTAAGGTTCCTCAGGCCCGTCCTAAGCTCACACGCCGTGTAGCCCCGAACATTAGGCTCCAGGTTTCATGTTAAAGTTTGCGGGTCTAGACTTATCTTAAACACGGTAATATACTAATATACTACATATATACATAGATGTGTATACATGAAATTATATATGTATATATTCTGAACTCGAAAGTCAGCTGAGGTGCTCCTGGTGCGCTTCTGGCACCCGGACATTTGCCCTCGGCATCGAGAAGCGCTGCTGGCAGCGAAAGCAAAGCTGCGGAAGCTCAAGGACGACTTGGCGGGACTGTTATGTTTATGATTGGCCTGACTGCAATGATCATTGCGCTCCTTTGTCGTTTTTCGGCGTTGTACCCAATCCAGTTCGCAAGCACTTGATTATTGGGAATGTCAACGGTCAGAGCATCGCAGCAGTTATTCGCGCTTCGAGTACATGCTTGAATGAGTTTTCGTGGAAGCAAATTTCTTTAAGCAGCGGGGTCAGGCAGCAAGGGCATCGCTTGTTGACTTCCGATAAAGGTGTAGATTTCCGTAAGTGTCAAGACTTCTGGGCCTTGCGAGGTCGTTAAACTGTGAACGAGACCACGCACATTCCAAGATTGCCCACCATCAAGTCGTGTACGATTTTGCTGACGTGGTAAAGTCCGACGAATGTAGGTACATTTTGCAGATAAATACTAACCAGTTCCGATCAGCACTTCTCTTGTGGTCACCGTCAGGGTCGCATGCTCCAACAAGCCGAAACCCCACGTAATCTCATGGGACATGGCAGGACTGGACGCTGCGCTGATGTGAAAGTTGTCGAAAAGGGTGCTGCCATGGCTATCGTTTGTCTACTGGTAGCTTCTTAGTTCCTGCGATTGTTCGACAGTCTAGCAGTCTTGCAATGAAGCAGAACCGAAACGGTAGTGGTGCTGGTGCTTAACCTTGCACGCCAACCACTAAGTTTGCCGGTGCGACTGGTTCGCGCTGAATTCAGGCTGCACCTTCGCTGGAAGCCAGTCGACTTCTTTTGCATGGAGAGGGTCTGGTTTTTGGGGTGACTGCAGCCACGCGCACGTGGACACCGCGAAACGGTTGAGGAACTTTTCAAGGCCGTCCGAATTAATGCCATCAACAGAAGCCCGTCACGTGCTTCGTGCCACCGAACCTTCTCAACGCCTGACATTCGCATCAAGGCCAGATGATTGGCAGCTGGTTCCAGGCAGCTTTGTGCCCATCCCGAACTTTCCGGAGGTGCAGGCAGGACCAGTATGTGTCTGGCGCTGCGGTTGACTTTGCGTGCCGTCGTGTGTTTGTGACTTTTGTTTGACTGTCTGATGTTCGACAGAAGTCACGCAGCTTGAAGCAGGATCTGGGAGTACATCACTGTTGGCATGAAGCTCCGCCGTTTGTTCAGCCCGTCTTTGTCCGCAAGCCGGTGTGACCTGGCTGAAACAAGTGCCGACAGGATAGGTTTATGGCAATGACGCATGAGAAGATGATGCTCAACACTGAGGCCATCATGACCATCATCACCATCTCAATCAATGTTATCATCTTGAACTCGATCACAATCACACAGCAGCGGACCGACAGTGAATCACCGACAGCGCAACCACCAGCAACACCACCGCTCCCGCCGCAACTGCCCTCCCATCGATGTATGGTGATCCTAGCTGCTATCATTTTCATCTTTCTCAGCAGAATAGTCTCCCTCCTGCTCCTCGGGGTTTTCTTTGCACTGCACCGGCTGGTGGAACCTCTCCAGGAACTTGAGCAGCGGTGGTGGTCATACCGCGATGCTCTTGTATATAGCTTGGGAAAGGATGCTGAACCAGCACCCCAAGCACGCTTGTGTTGCGTCACAGGCGAGCTCGGCATTCTTGGCAATTTTTCGAAGTGTGGCTCTGCTCTGCGACAGACTAGGCTTGCAAAAAGTCACAGTTCCCACCCTGCTTCGAAATCCGGCAGATCTTCATCACTGCCACAACGGCTTGACTGTGCGCGTTGTGGCTTCCTCTTGTCATACCTTCTGCCGAAGTCCTTCCCAAGACCTGATAACTTGAATCTGCAGCAGAGCTGTAACCATGACAACGCAGTGTTGGCTGGTGGTGCTGGGAGCCGGAGCCACCATCACCAGCACAACAGAATCAGCCAATTGAAGCTGCGATGTGACCACCCTGTACGCGACGCTTACTCTCCTTCATCATTCCTGTTGCTGCGCGTCTTGAAAGGTATGTGTTGCTCCTGTTGAACGACCTGCTGGGCACCATCCCATGCCGTCGGCGCCTTAGATGAAAACCTCCAGACTTTTCCAACACAGCTTCAGAAGATGCCTTTAGCACATTTTCGCACCAACCCATATGAAACTTCGGATCCTCCGGCTGTAGAACACTTGAGTTCAAAACCCGCCATTCCAGACCAACTTCCACGGCAGGTTTCAATCCGGCCCAGATGTGCGAGAACATCGTCAGCTTTCGTTTTCGCGCAACCACCCCGGTGTGCGACCCAGGGGAGCCTGCGTTCTTTCGGCATCGTCTCGGGTACCTTTCCGGTTCCTTGGCATCACGAAAGCATTTTCCTCCAAGCACATCTTCATGCGGCAACAACCGTAAGTGGTGAGCTCGTCTAGGCTCCTCAACCTAGATCGGAATCTCAAGATGTCAGGGCTCGATGACTTTGACAACGTCGACCGCACCTTTCAGGGTTCTCGTGCGCCGAGCAGCTTCCTTTTTGCTCGAGCCAACACCTCTCGCCTTTGAAAGCGGGAGAGGTCTCAAAGTGGGCCTAAGCTAAACTCCAACCGACCAATTAAGAGAAAACTGGACACAGACACATCCTTCCAGAGCATCGTGTTGTGTGGTCCCAGCTCTTCGATTGATCATGGTGCTGTTGTGCTGACAAGACAAAATGCTCGAAACCCTGGCGGGGTCAGCCACGTCTTTGCAGCCCCAACCCAATCCCCTAAACCCCGACCCTACACTTGACAACATCAACGACATCAGTCCTTAAACTGACTCTATGGTGCAGATGGCTCCAAACGCTCTAAGGATCAGTGTCTACAAACGGGTGGCTTCAAGCCCGGCATCTGAAACCCGATCCTCGCACTTCATGGCATGTCGCCATAGCCGACCGCGCAGCCATCTCGATGGCACTTTCGGTGCCACCGAGTACGCAGCGCTCCATTGCAGTGGTAGATCCTGGAGGCTAAACGCAGGGTCCTTATTGTATAGTTGGATCCGGGGGGGCCTTCTGCCGAATAATTACCCAAAACCATCATGATGCCTGCATGTGTGTTGAAGCGTTGCTTGGCCACTAGAGTTTCACTGGCCCATTATATAAACTAACAGCACATAGGTCTCTATGCGCATTCGATGAACATTGCTACGCGCGTGTAGATAGTCTTGTACATGATGCAAAGAACTGTTCAAAGCTCCTCTCGAAACACTCTCAACTTCAACGGCCCTGGTCTCACAATCTGACATATTTACTGTCGTGCGTGGGCAACATCGTAACAAGAGAGTACTAGGTAAGATAATGGCTGAATGTTGTTCGCATTTGTTTACGTCCTTGTTGGTTGCGTGACCATCGCGCTGCATTCATGTTTCCCTGCCGTGGTATGGCACCAGTATGGTAACAGTATTTCCCGAATGCATGTCCATACTGGCAGGCAGTTCAAGTCATTTTTGGTGTCTATATTGCTATTCTCCTGTGTTCCCTGTGTTGCGATCTTGTTCTCGTGACTGCATAGGTGTTTCTGGCCTGGATATTTAAAGCCTGTCGTCCATGTTGCATGCATGTGTCCATGTTGAATCGCAGGCCTCAGCCGAGCTGCAAACGGATCCAGCTCCAGCCGGAGCGTCAACGGAGACAGCGAGAAGGCCGCATGTCTTCGTCAATTGTTTGGAATGCGTTCTGCGGGTCGTGCTTAATATAATGACTGCCTGATTGCTGTGGACGATGAAGGAAGTATGCACATGTTGCAGTTTGCGGGAGTGCCTTGCAGGCAAGGAACGAGAGAATTGATTGGCCTTCCCCTCCTTAGTTATGCCAAACTCGACCGAGTTATAGTAAATGCTCAGTGTCCCATCCTATGTTATGGGATTGCAGGCACGGTCTCTTCTTGAGGTCGCTTTGCTACTCGTTGAAGCCTGTCTGGCCCGTGTTTCTAAACATCATTGTCATGGTTGATATAGTATGCTTGGTATAGTACGTTTTGGGTTTAGGTACTATAGTTCTATACTATAGTAGTGCATGACACCCGTGGAACCTGAGTGATGATGCTAGCCTTCGGTCGCTCAGTCCAAGCTGCTGCCGGCCGCTCCACCCCCAAATCCAGAAGATCCTCTGGTTGCTCGGCGAACTGCGTTAAGGGTTTTAGGGTTTAGGGTTTCGGAGCTTCCATCATCCCAGCTGTAGGGACGCCTGAGGAAGAATTGGTTTGTGAATGTTTCCATGAGTGAACTTGCTCCGCCTGGGAGGTTTGCAAGGACGGAATCAGGAGCTGTCGACATCCGAATGATAGGGGCTTCATGCTTTCCTTCACAAGCAGGCGGTAACGGAGCTTCATCTCGGTTCTGCGGTTTAAGCCGGGTCAGTAGATGATTCAGAAGCTGGCCCTTGAATCAGAAGCCCGGAGACCGGCGCGGGATGACGTCCATGGTCCTTTTCATTCTGAGAAGTGAGAGCATCCATTGCCCAAGCATGATGACGTCCACGGTCCTTTCGCTTTCTGAGAAGTGGGAGCATCCATGGCACAAGCGTGATGACGTCCATGGTCCAAAGCTTTCTGAGAAGTGAGAGCATCCATGGCCCTATATGGCCCCATATGGCCCCATTGTGCCATGATGACGTCCATGGTCCACTCCGTTTGCAACATCTACGAAGCCACGGATTCTGCTCCCGCCCTAAGATTGAGCATGGCCGAGCGCGACCGCGAAAAGCGACAGATCGACGGTCAACTGTCCCTCTAATGGCCCCCTACACGCCCTACATGTAGCGATTTAGGGTTGAGACGACTACCACAACCAACACAAACACTACTACAGTGGCCAGCACTGGACCAGGAAACTGGAGGCAGGACGGGAGGAGGCGAAAGTCGAATTCTCCCTGCGCCTAGTTGTGGCTAAAGCTGAAATTCACAGTAAAACCTCGCCGACCCCACTGACCCAACCGAGGATTAAATTCCATTTGAAGCCGCCGGGCCAGTGGGGTCCAAACCACGCACGGTTTTAGGGTTCAGGGTTTAGGGGCCCAGGGTTTAGGGTTTAGGGCTCTAGTTTAGAATTTGGAAATTCAGCTACAGCCCTCGGGACAGCAACTCCCGCAATTGGAGGCCCTACAAAGCTCCTAGTACCCCGACACCTTGTAGCCCAAAGCCAGCCCCCCAAACCAGCTTACTGTTGTACAAGTATAGGACATCATGGGCCATCATGCGCGTTTAAAGTATAATCGGAGACAGAGTCAGAAAAAAGGGGCCAAGCACCCCGCATCGTCGTAAGGACAAGGGCTGCGAGCCCCTGACAGTGCAACGCAAATGCACCGATGTTGCAGCATGTCACAGTCTTCAGCATACCTTGCTAGAGCTCAGGGTTGCAGAGTTTATGGAATGAATAAAGCTTACTGTACGGTTGTAGGTTGTGCCGTTTCGGGTAGAAGGTTTTGAAGGCAGGGATACCGATCGTCGTCTGTCGGATGCACCTTCAGCAATTTTCGACATTTACGATGGGTTACAGACAACTCGGCCGGTAACTGCTGTCACTACGAGCTGTGATGAGACCTTAAACGGTAGCAGTGTTCATGGCTTTCAGTTTGCGTTGAGCCACATGGATCAGATGACGGTCAACTGCTTCTGTTTGTTGATGACACCGTCAGCCGTAAACTGTAATCCGTGCAGGAATGATATTGCGGGATCGGGCACACCCACCGGAGTTCTTCTCTCACAGATTCAACCACCTGACTATCCTGAGTGTTGGGCTAGTTTGATTATGTTGCAATTGCTTCGGCCGTCGGGGTTGCTATGTCCGTTAGTCAAGACCATCTTGGTCCCAGCTGTGCACACTGAGCGCAATTCTATTCTTAGGTTTGTTTTGGTCTTTCGTAATTTGTTCGCTTCTGGCTTATGGTTGAAGGTGCCAAAAGTTTGCTCGAGAGCTATGTGCTCAAGTCGCTTCTAAAGCTCCTACAAGAGCCAATACGAGAGAGAATATGGACATGAGCATTTGTCCGGATGCATGCATGTGCTCGTACTCTACTTTCCTTGATCTGCTCGCTTGCGCCAATGCCTGCGATGTCCCAAGGCATAACAGTGCAATGTCATTATGAAAAGTTGAGCCCTAAACCCTAAACCCTAAGTTAGGTAGGTCTTTTATTATCGGAGCAAGCTGCCATCGACTACGGTTCTTATCGTTGCCGTGGGTACTGCCCCACCAAAGAGAATTCTGTACTCTGACTCTGATTATTATGACTATTGCTACAATTACGTACCACCATTACTATCATTGGCAGAGCTGAGGTGTGGATTTTTCCGTTTCTCGTCCTGCTGGGAGTTTCTGCATATGCAACCTACCAGGCTGCTGAGGCCCAACCCCGCTCGCTGCCTTGCAACAGTCCTCTGTAATATAGAAGGCAGGTCTGAATGGGGCATAGGGAGGACAATATTTTGGCAAAAATAAGCAAATTACCAATACGGATGCTGAAGGCTTAAGATTCCTTGCTGCAGTACTGTTCAAGTTATCAAGGCCCCTATATTACCGGTATGGCAGCACATACGCGATCCCTCTGATGTGTATAGAGAGCAAGTATTTAGGAGTTCAACCCAGTATCTCCGCATCTACGTCTGGTGCTTAGTAGGGAATGGGGGAATGGATCCCTGTAGTAGTCCCTATATAATCCCCCAAAACAGACCCCAAGAACCAGACAGACGGTGCAGCGCACCCAACTCTCCAAAACCTAGAGCTTCCACGGCGCAGTGCGAGGCTCTTTGTAAGCCAAAGCCCCTCCTCGCCCACCTGATCCTGTTTCGACAGAACTACGCACCAGTGAAATCGGCGCAAGAGACAAGCAAATGAACCCCGACAGTGAGAAAAAGCTAAGCATTGGAGATGCTGACAGGTGGGCAACTTTCGATCGATTTTCAGAGTGCCGGACTTCCAATCGGAAATGTGCGGTGAAGGGGAAAGGAAGGCAGGGAGGGCTCGTGTCGAACCTCGCACCTTCTTCAGGTTTAAGGGCTCTGAACTTCGAGGGTTTAGGATGGGTTTGGGCCGGGGAGTTCAACTTCTACAGTGCCTTCAATGTGAGAATTCCGGAGTAGACGTGCGTTAAAGGACTTGAGGGATGTTTGTGCGATTCCGCACTCGTCGGTCTGGCGATAAAGAACCACGAATCCTACGAAGAACTGTTGCTTTAAACGATAACCTCCCGGTCGCCGCAGGCCAAGACATTCCTGTACTTCTGCATGAAGCACGAGTCCCAATGGATCTTCGACGAAGCGAATA